GCTGACAGAACCAGAAGCCATCACCTTAAGCTGTACTGGGGAAGGATTAGGTTGGACATTAGGAAGAATATCTTCCCTGAAAGGGTGATTAGACACAGGAATATTCTGCCCAGGGAGGCGGTGGAGTTACCACGCCTGGAGCTGTTTAAGGAAAGACTGGATGTGGCACTCATTGCCATGGCCTAGTTGACAAGATGGTGTTCAGTGAAAGGTTGGACCTGATGATCTCAGAGACCTTTTCCAACCTAAATGATCCTGTAATCATTCTGAACAGAGTGCAACAGCAAGAAACACACCCCAGAAATACTGCTCCTTCTCCAAACACACCACTGATCACATCCACACGTGGGACAACACATGCCAACTACATGGGGAAGAAAGCTCGAAGGTTCTGACTCCATTAATGCCAATGTCAAAGAACAGTTACAGGAATTAGACAGGAATGGATCCACATCTGTATAAGCCTCATAACAGCCTGTGGATCTTTTAGCTGCACTGAGCTGAGCTCTCAGGAGCCCACACGGATATGATGGAGAGCCTGCTTAAAAGCACTAAAGCCAAGAAACGGCCGCTTGGGTCTGTGCCACAAGGAAAGCTGTAATTATTCATTTTTTATTAACATACTGAATTTCAGGAATTTAAAGGGGTGTGAAAAATTCAGGGAAATTAAGCTAAGAGCAAAAGTGACAAAGTTTGCAAGTCAGGTGGGGACACTGGGAACAGAAAGGAAAAGTGCTGACTCCGATGAATTCCAGAAAGGCCTTACGGCAGTGAGAGTAAGGCAGGTGAAATCCAACCTAATAAATCGGCGAAGGAAAAAAATATATAATTCTACCGCCTCTAGCACGATGACAGGTCCTTAAGGGGAACAACAGTGCTCATGCGGGCGGCCGAGGGACGGCAGAAACCGGAGCCGGGCAGGGAAGCAAAGCCAAGCGGGCGCGCAGCAGCGGCCCGGGCCGGGCCGAACCCAGGCCCCGCCGCCCCCACCTGCTTGTTGGCCTCGTCGAAGAACACGCAGTTCACGGCGTTCGCCTTCTCGAAGTGCACGGGCCGCGCGCACAGCGCCAGGTAGCAGCCGCCGGCCTCCGCGCCGCCCCGCGCTCGCCCCTCGCCCTCCTCTCCTCCTCCTCCTCCTTCTCTTCCTGCGGCTGTCGCCGCTGCCGGTGCCTCGTCCTCGGCCGGCCCCGGCGGGTCGCGGCCCGTGGCGGCGGCCATGGCCCACCCCGCTCCCGGCCGCCGCTTCCTGTTTACACTCCCCCCGCGCGTGACGCGGGACGCTCCCGCCTTAAAGGCGCAGCGGCCGGGAGCGGGATCAGGAGCAGGGAGAGCGGGAGCAGGGATGGGGCCGGCAGTTCTGAACGCCGGTGTATGAGAGGTGTCCGTGAGCTTAACAAACGGACACAGCAAGCTGGGAAGCTGCGAAATCGGCCTCAGGAAAGGCGTGAGTGCTGGCAAGGTGGTAGAAAAGAAAGACGTGGAGTGAGCGTAGAGTTACAGAGCGGGAACACGTTGCAAAGATTTAGGAGGGCACGTATGAGAGGAGGGAAATCAGGGAATTAAGGTGCCAGGGTAAGCTCTGACTCCAACCGGTGTCACTTATCAGGGTGCCCTAGAATTTATTCTGTTTTTAAAAGCAAAGCTGGTGGAATTTAAAATGTTAGGCAAGCAAAACCACTGTCTTAACCAAGTGTGGAGGCCACAGCAGCAGACTGGGGCTTTTGGCCCAGTCTTTTATAACGATTCTAAAACCAACAGACCTAAAACAACCCCAAAACTTTTATGTGCAGAAAACAAAAAAAAAAAAAAAAAAAAAAAAAAAAAAAAAAAAAAAAAAAAACAAAAAAAAAAAAAAAAAAACACCAAAAAAACCCCCACAAAAAACCCACAAAAACAAACAAACAAAAAAAACCTCCACACAAAACAAACAAACAAAAAAGAAATGACTGCTTCTGAGATCTGCCTTTCTTTGTCCACAATTACTATATCATCATTGTCACTCCTGCTCCTTGGTGGGAAGCTGCTTTTTAGAGTTGAACCACAGTTCAGGAAAAATATTAATAAAGCATTATTGAAGTCAAAGTCTGGCTTGGTTCTCAGCATTTATGCTGAGCATATATTTTAGTTTGGACAACAAAACAGCGATGGGATTATTTTATTTTTTTGTTGATGCACTGGCTAATGCCTTAGCTCACTAGCTGTAAGCCCTACATTATGATCTAGAAATTGTGTGAGAATATCAATTATGTATTTGCTTATTGGTTTAGAAAGGAAAATTTAAAAGGAGAGGGGGAAAAAAGACTAAGATCATAACAATTTAAAAAATTTCAGATTAAAAATGGTAGCACAGTTTAGTATGGGAGAAAGAGAAATTTAAGTACCAGATAGTAACACGGTATCATGCAAACAACTGCTAGATGACTTGTGACCCAGTTAGTCCACCTGCACTAATTTCACATCAGATACTAAAGAGATTTCACATAAAGGTACTGAAGTCACAACTAAGAATTACAGTAAGCTGTTTGTTCTACAGAACCCTCCTGCATCATCAAACAATTCTGTTTACTGGAGATGACAAGTATATTCAAAGCATTTGAAGTACCTTAAAGTTTATAATTTTTTGCAAAGTAACAACATTTATTGCTTGTTAGCCAGAAGTTTAGTTAATCCAAGGTGAAAATTTAAGAAACTCTACTGACATTTTCCCTTTCTTATTTCTCTAAAAACCAGCATGGACATCCTACAATTGCAATAGAAACTGAGGTATCTTTGAGGGAAATCAGCAGATGAGTAAATAACACATACAATTTATAACTCTCTGATAGCAGTAAACCTTAATGCCCAATTTCAAATCTAAGATTCTATTTGCCCAATAATAATCCTGGAATTTTTTGTTTCAAAGGAGTCCAGGAAAATGCTTCTTTTAGCAAATTCGTGTTTTCAACTATGTGGAAACGTGCCCAGGTGTCTTAAAATCTCAAATCAAATTCCTAAGCCGATTTTACTGCTGGAAGTGAAAATATATTAATACATAAGATATATAGTGCATAATATATAGTATATATTTGGGCCCAGTAGCTTTAATTAGACTCAAGAAAATTTGCTTCATTTATTTGGGCCGTGTTTCGTTTTCTTAAGCCTGTGCTAGACATATTTTAGCAAGAAATTAAAAATGACAGTAACAACGGAGGCTCTGGCTCAAGCACAGAGATACAAGCAAGGGCCTGTTTCAAAGAACAGCTCAAAAAACACCCTCACTTCCTGTTATTTCTGCCTTCTTCCTCCCTCTTTATGCAAATAGCTGTAGCAATCAAAAACTTCCTTGTACAAAAACATTTTAAGGCACTGGCAACTGTTCTGAGATTTTTTTCCCCCTAAGAAATGTTAAGAATATTAAAACTAGCTATAAGCCAAGAACAATAGGACTATCTTTTTTTTCTTTTTTTAAAGGCCTTCTCCTCTGAAGGAGATCTGGGTAGGAATCTTTCACAACAGCAGCTTGTAGTCTTCCTAAAGAGGTTAGCACTTCCCTTGCAGTACCTGGTCTGTCCTTTCCCTGACACCATTATTTTGGGAAACTGTTTCACTGAGAAATTCAGAAGAGGTGTAAGTGTCTGAAAGATACAAGCTCCTTTTTTTCAAAAGTAAGGGGTAAATGCAAGATACTTATCTGAATTAGAAAAAGGAAGAGGATCCAAGTGTTGGGATGAAACTGGCAAAACCAAGGTTCATGTAGTACCCACCCAAAGAGTCATTTTTATATTGTTGTAAGGAATTTGTGTGGCCCTACCCTAAGACTGCTCTAGTGAAGCACCAAAGATCAATGAAGGTCTCTGTGATACAAAGAACCATGCAAGAACACCACCACAAGATCTTAAATTTTTACTTCACCACCAGTTTTCCAACAGAAAGAGATTAAAAAGTCACTTTCACAGCACACTGTGAGGTCACATGTAGCATCACTATATTCTGCTTGATAAAGAGCAGCATCAGAAACTAGAAATCAGAAATCAGTTAAAAAGAAGTTGATTAGAATTCCTTAATTCCAAACTATCCCACCACATCAGTTCATCTTTAAATGTGTTTTCTGGAGAGAAACATCAGCAGATTTTTACAAGTTGCTGGAAAAAAAAGACTGACATTAAGAATAAATAAACTGTGGAAACAGTATCAGTCATCATTATTTCTAAACAAAGCTTTTTTGCCTACAGGTGCAAAAAGAATACTCAGATTTGTCTGTGATTATCTTTAGGGTAAGAACATTTGATGCTCCAAAATTATATTCTAGGTAGAGACAGGATTATTATAGTTTTGGCTTGCACCAAGTTCTTGGAACCATTTGTGTATTAAGAGGGAAGCTACCTGAACTGACTCTTTATTATGCATCACTGACTCAGGATTTCCTGGCATATCACCAAGGAAGTCCTCTGCTGGTTGGAATTCAAACATGTTTCTCATGTAATACTCAACAGTATTTACAGAGATAATTGGAGCCACATTCCCTGTACTTCAAATAAAAAAGTCCAGACTTTTGCATTTATAAATATATTACTTTGCTAAATTAACATTTTCATATGATTGCAGCGCACAGTTTGCCTTCTCATTTTGCCCTTGGTGGAGATGGATTAAAGACATTGTGTCCATAAACAATGTTTTGGACACAGTTTTCCAAGTTGCATTAGGGAAAAAAAGAGAGGGACTCTTCTAGTGTGCTTTCCATGAGTTTTCCAAGTTGCATTAGGGAAAAAAAGAGAGGGACTCTTCTAGTGTGCTTTCCCACTAGACACTTCGGACAATATAGATGATTTTTAAATTTTTTTTTAGACTAAAAGATGTAAGCCCTGAATCATGCAAAATATGACCATCTGAGCTACATTAGTCTAATGTAACTGGGCAATTGGTGAAGTTGTCAGTCTGTTCAAAGTGGTAGTGACAGTCCGTTCTCACAGTGCCAGCCTGATGTGTGGGACAAGTTAAAAAAAAAGCAAACCACTGAGGCATCACCATATGCTTGCTGTGTTTTCCATTTTGGTATTCCCAGCCAACCACTCTCTTGACATTGGCAGTTGACATTTACCACTGCACCAACGCAGTTAGAAGCAGTAAATTTGTGTTTTGTTTCATCAGCAGCTACAAACTCAGTGCTATTCATCATATATAGGTGGGTCTCCATCACTGGAAAACGTTGACAGTTTCTTTCCATGATTCTGCACGTGATCTTCATTCATCTTCTCCAAAGCTTCAATCTAGAGAGCCAAAAATAAAACCATGCTGAAATCATAAAACCATGCCAGTAGCACAAGCCTTCTAAACAGCATTAAAAGTAGCTTTTGAAGCCAGAGCAGGTATGTACAATGTTGCTATTTCAAAGATTCAGTCGCATGTAACAGCTCAAATACAGCCAGGTACACCTTCAATCATCTGTTCTTGATAAGTAACTAAAATGAGCAGCACTCCTTTACAGTTTGAAGCTATGTAAGCAAAATGAACCAGTTTCAGGGAGGACTGGATGATTTCTTAAGATTTCAGTTGTGTTCCTCAAAGGACAGATGTGTGCCTTCCTCCAATGACACAGATCATGGAACTGTGTTCCCTTTATCTCTTTCTTACTTTGATCACCTGCCCCAGGAGTCACCTAATTACCAGCTCCCACCTACTCCATGCTGGACTAGCACAAACCTGCAATGTCATTCGTAATTAGGGAGAGTAGAATTGCTACATTGCCTTACTTTAAGTAGAAAATATGGAACGTTTGCTAACTTGGTTTTTTTTTTAAATCTGATATCAGGATGCAGGCCTTGAGGAGTTGCAGCCAAAGGTTGAAAACTGAAAGCCAAGAGTGACCAAAGATTCCTAAGTCCATATTTACATTAGCATGATTTTAAGCTTCAAAATTAAAAATGCTAGCCTAAACTTTAAACTCAAATAAATTAACATTTAAACCATGAAAAATAAGCAGTAAAATAATTATTATTTTTAACCCAACTTTCCTTTTCTTGTACAACCTCTAATGTATGTAAGGCAAGACAACAGCTTTTAAACTAAAACAAATCACTAGATTTGCCTTAATGCTGAAATGAAACAACTATATTCAACATCAAGTCTTTTCTCTTGGGAACAGGGCGATCAGGAAAGGGGGTGGAGAGGTCTGTCAATCTGAGTTTCTGTAAATGTTTGTACTAGGTTGAAATACTCAAGGTTTTAAAAAGAGATGCAGAATGACTACTGAAATTTTACTCATACCAATCACACAGTTAATCTGGAAAGTTAAGGTATTATAATAGCTAGCATAGCTAACCAAATTTAAATTATTAGACAGAGAAAGTTATACCTCTGCTTGGAAGTCTACTTCATTGTCAGCTGTAATATTTAAACCTGAGACAGCGTTGAAGAGTTCGCGCTCATTAAGTGCTTCTGGCACGCCTCCTTTCTGGAAGAACTAATCAATATAAAGAGCACACATTAAACACTTCACTACACAGAACAGAATATTCCTTCGACTTTCTCCAGTTACTACATTTACCCAAAATTACATTTTTGTTTCTGTTGACCCACAGATAAACATAACTGAAAGAAGTTTTACGTTCTAGTAGTATAATTTTACTTTTCCACATTTTTTTCACTTTCAGAGAAGGACACTATCAGCATGGAAAATGTGCAAGAGTAATCTTCTACATATCTAAGACAGCTTATATCTTAGAAAACATACAGCATAACAGAAGACTGTCAGACAAAGAGGTCCTACCTGTGAAACATTCCTACAGTCTCTGAACAAGAACTCAAGTCCATGAGGATGGGTTGGCTCCACAGACTGACTGACATCAAGACTTTTCCACATTTTTTTCACTTTCTGAGAAGGACACTATCAGCATGGAAAATATGCAAGAGTAATCTTCTACATATCTAAGATAGCTTGTATCTTAGAAAACACACAGCATAACAGAAGACTGTCAGACAGAGGTCCTACCTGTGAAACATTCCTACAGTCTCTGAACAAGAACTCAAGTCCATGAGGATGGGTTGGCTCCACAGACTGACTGACATCAATGAGCCAGACCTGTAGTCACAGAGAAACAGCAATTTGCTTTGTATTAGTATTTCACAGTAGATACAACTTTTCTCCCCCAAATTAAGAACAAACTCACCTTCCCATCATGCCAAAGCATGTTGTATTCACTCAGATCTGCATGGACCAGGTTGCACTCCCTATACAACTGCTGCATCATCTGCAAGGAACCAAATTAATGAAGGAAGTGTGCTATACTCCAAATGAATATTGCTAGCATGACTTAAAAAAACAAAAAAGCCCAAACAACCCCACCTTTCCCTAATCACCCACATAATTTACATAATTTTTACCCAAGTCTTCAATACACTTCCATCCAGGGAATTGCAGTTTTGGCAAACTGCCAGCAAACTAAGCTTTTTATCACTGAGCTTAGCTTTGGCAAAGTCAGAAGAGCTACTGTGGTAAACTGAAGTCAGCTCTGCCAAGCAGTCCAAGTGCAGACGACAGATAAGCATATTCTCTAAATACCTGTCATTTTCACTGCTATCACATGGGAAGGAAGCCTCACAGTTGTAGAGACTGAGTCCTAAGCAGTACACAAATTCACTTGAAACACAGCTGTTTTGCTCACTGGCCTCATTCATTTGAGACCCAGACCACTCCTGTTACCAAGCTGTGGGGCTGGTTGCCTGGTTGGGTTTTTTTAATATCTATAACATTAAAGTTAGTAGAGAGTTAGCAGCTGGCGTGTTTGAACCAAGCAGATAATAGGAAATTAAAGCATCCACCATGCAATATTCTAATTAATTCTCCAGTTTCTAGGTTTGTTGAAGAGGGGGCGGGCGATCCACTGGAGAGTGCTTAAGCATTGTAAATTAAATGTTTGCTAAGCCCAGAAAGACTTCAGAGAATTTTCTAAACCACATACTGCTTCTGTAAAAGGAGGACTACTTGCTCACAATTCCTCTGCTACTAAGCATCTGTTTGTCATCAAATTCCAGTATGTTTTCCACTCAGATTAAATTTAATTGTATTTTTCTCAGTGAATAGTTTCTTACTGATTCTAAGTCACACATTAAACAGCAGCAAAATAAGACTTTGGACTTAGTATCTTGACAATTATGTAAGCATCCTGAAAAGTAAATATGTGCTCATTTGTCCTTACAGTTATTCCCTTAAAAGAAAATACAACCCAGAATTGGAGGAGAAATCAGCATCATCTTACATTAAGAATCTGATAGTAGGCCTTTTTCATATCTTCACTACTAAGTGTTACATCTTTTAGTTTAGGAGCTGGGATTTGATCCTGGCCAATGAAAGACATAACCAAGACGTGTTTCTTAAGGATAACCACTTGAGGACAAGGAATTCCTGCATTTTGCATTCTGTGGATCAGAAAATAGATACTGATTAAGAAAAACAGAACAAAAGCTTCAAAGTCTCCAAAGTTCTAGTTCCTGCTATCTCATTTGCAATCTGAGAGCTGTGTGAAAAACCTGATCCAGAGTAAACAAAGTCTTTGAAATAATTAAAAACTGAATAATTATATATATTGCACATATTTTACACAGGAAAATTCAGATTCTCAAGTTCTAAGTTAACCTAAAAATGCTCACTAAATATTAATCACTTTTGCAACTACAACCTGTTAACTTCATGAGCATGTAAATTCTGCTGCAAAATCACTGAAGATGCTGACACAGCTTATTAAACTGTAAAAAAAACCCAGGGGCTTATTCAGTCTGTGCCAGGTTGTATATTATTTTGGCCTAAAAGTTAAATACCCAGACACAGAGTACCTTCCTTAAACAGAGAACAGGAAACTGACAGGCATTTGGCAACTACAGTTTCTTTTTCTTTCTTTACCTTGTTAAGTTATGCATTTCTTTCTCAGCCCACATACGAATAATTTTTCGTGGATTCAGTTTACTGAAGCGGTCTTTAAACCTGTAGTCATCCTTAATGTATTTGTCACGGTTCTTGAATTCATTAAGAGTTGTTTTAAACACTTTGATGGCACATTCTGGAGGAATAACTTTATCTTCAGTTGCACTGCTCATGGTAAAAGACAAATATATAAAAAAGTTAACTATTCACATATTTACAAGCAAATGCATGAGTTTGGGTTTTTATACATTGCAACATACAATTTTTAATATAAGAGAGGACCTAATTTTCTATCACATTTAGAGGCAAACTTAAATTTATAACAATTCTATGATTAAACTTACATATGAATATTTGGGTTTTGGCATTCTGATTATCAGATAATCAGATAGGTTACCTCTCCTAATTTATTAAGTCACATCTTTTCTCCCCAATTCCAACTTTCTCTCTTGACATCTCTAAATACATTATCTGTATTTGAGTTTCATTAGTTCTTTCTCAAACATCACTGGTTTAAAGTCAGTTAAACACAATGCAATTGCCATAACACACTCCAATCCTTCCAGTATGGCAGGAAGGACTGAAGAAGTGAGCAGCATCCCAACACTATCCTCAACCTGAAAGCAACAAACAGCACCTTCACTGAGCTGCAAATACAGAGCTGGCAATAGAGCAATCTCTGTGGAAAGAACCTTCAGGTAGCCCAAGATCCTCACAACAGCTCTGTGGTTTGGGGCAGGTAGGTGGAAAGAGTATCTCAAAAATCTCAAGATTTATTTTTTATAAAACAAGTACGTATTTTTCCACAGAAAGGCATGGTGCATTTGTCCCCATTCATTAATAGCCTCCAGGAGGAAAGTGGGGATTTCTTTACTTTATGGTTGGTATAATTTGGTTTTCAGATTTTATTATCTCCATATACATGAATACAGCCTTTAAGTCTCAGAAATAAAAACAGGTGCAGATGTTTAAATACTTTTGTGTTTTTTGCTTTTTAAATCATCTCTTTTACTTAAAGCTATCATCAGTAACAAACAATATACTCACTTTCCTCCATAGGCATGAAAAACAACAGATTCTTTTCCCGTGCTGATGCAGCCTGTGATGGTCTCCAACATCCCAGAATTGACCATCTTGTACAGAAGTAAACGTGTTTTAGGATCCACTGCTTTCTCCTACAAGAGATGAAAAAGATTAATAGGCAAGACATGAATACTCAATTCAATAAAGCAATTCTTTGCTTTATCATGAGTTTAGAATATTTATATACTACAAGAACTCAACTAAGTGGAAAGAATAATATATTAATAAAATTTCTTTCAACTGACAGAAGGGAGAAAAAAAAAGCCAAACCAAAATAAACATCTGAAGCAAAGGACTGATTTAAATGATTTAATATTCTTAGTTTCCCATCAGCTGTGCAGCACATAGAATATTTTACTAATTGCACATATAAACTGTGGCTCAACAGCACTTTCTACAGTGTTTTCAAGAAGTCTTTACAAATCATGAATCACAATATCCCAAGTATTATATTTCTTTGATAGAAGTAACAATAAAGCAAAGCAAAACACACAAACTTGAAGAAGTCCACATCAGGAATTACCAGAGGCCCTACTTCAAACTCACCCATACAGTCTACCAAGTAAACTCCTAAATTATTAGGTCAGTTGGTCACCTCATGCTCCTGAAACTTGTTATGAAGACAAATATTTGGAGCCGTATGGTTCAACAGCAGAGGATTAGTCCTCTGGATGTTTCTATAAATAACTTCCAGGCAGTTTATGCATCATATTTGATTAAGAGGCAAGTTTAGAAAGGCAAAGAGAAAAAAAAACAGTAGCTGCTTGCTCTTACTTCAACATGGTTCTCACAGTAATGCAGCTCAAACAAAGAGCCTTTTTCTAGTAGGAGCTGGCTGATACCATTTCCTTCAGCAACGTTAGCATAATGTTGCTTAGCTGTTTTACTAAAAATGGAATGTTGCAAGAAGTTGCCCAGCAGAGTTTAGCTATTACACAAGATAAGGAGTAGATAGAGAGACTTTATTAAAAACATACAGCAGTGGAGTGCTCCTTCTTCTCATGGAGCCTTGCACTTCGACGTTCCTCAGAGTATGCATGCTGTTTTAAGGCATTGAAGACTTGATTTGACAGCTTTAAGTCCATCCCAATTCCATCCCCAACTTGGAATTCAGGTGCAAACTACAAGCAGAAATAATAGGAATTTAAGCATTGTTAGTAGCAGATGCAAAAAGTTGGCACAAACAGAAATTTCTCATCCTGATTTGGAAAACCTCATGATAGACTTGGACCTATGTGAAACCCACTTTTTTAACATAATGACAACATTGCACAAACACACTGCTTTAAACTCAGAACTCAAAGTTCTGCCCAAATTGATATGAGATTACCTAACATCCTGCAAAAATAGCACTTGCATAATGTCCTTATTTACAGAAGTTGCACCAGTTACCTTAAAAACAATGAAAGGTATGTACTAAAGATAAACAGACTGAAAAGCTGTAAGTAAAACAATTGACTGAAAATAAGTTACTTGGTTTATCAGACAAAATTAATTAGAAGAAAGATTACACAACATCTATCCTTTTCAAAAATAGCTTTTGTGTTTTATTTGCTTCTGTGCCAGACTTGCTGATAGTTTTGTTTTCCCAAAACAGTTTTGTGCAAATTCTTGAATTGCTCAATAACAAACTACTTATAAACAGAAAACCCACAAAACTCAAACTGCCATTGTGAATAATCAATAAAGCAAAGACTGCACTGCTTTCATCCAACAGGGAAAAAATAAAAGTCAGCACCCTACCCAGCAGCACTGGTGGACAAGCATTAGTTCTTTGGCTGAACTGCAGCGTCAGTTTTACACATAGAATAAGCTTCCCTAAGTTTTCACTTACATTTTCCATGCGAGCAGTGTTTTTTCTTCCACATACCACTTCATCATGTTTCGTAGTAATGTCTTTTCCTTTTCCTATGAAACCCCTTCTTGGTGTAGTAGTAGGTTTATCTGTCAGCAGTGAGAAAAAGAAACCAAACTTTAAATCTAAACAAACATAACCAATGCTCATAGAAGTCCCACAATATCCACAAAACTAATATAATTTTATTTATAAAACAGAATAAATTCCTTCAATTGTATGATCTTAATACAGTCTTCTCCTATCCTAAGCATGACACTTCTTTGGCTATGTTACAACTTATTTCTCTGTCTTCTCTGGGGTGTCAGACACATTTCTGGCCTGCTACAACAGGAGTATTCAATATCATGTGCAGATGATATGTAACCATATCATCCAAACATAGATGACAGATGAGCACATCCCACAATACTTCCCATGTACACTGGTTATTTTACAAGATTCAGCCACTGAAGCCAATATAGTGGCAGACAGAAGCCTGAAGTTACCCACCCAACCTCCTGCTGACACCTTCAATTGAGGTGACCTGATTTTAAATGTAGCTGGTGTCTCTCCTTACATTAAAACAAGACCTAATTTAACTCTGTCATACTCTCAGGGCGATTGGCTGAAGAAATTGTATTGTCTAAAGCTGTCACATACCTGCTCTGTATGGATCATGACGGGTATCCTGCCAATCAACCTCATCCTCTGAGCTGTCACTGTCATAGGGATGCACCTTGCGATAATTTTCAAAGGATATGGAGACTTGAGAAACAAAACAAATAAGCATGTCTGTGATTATCAGGGATTTGCTACTTCCTCTGCCAAATAGCTCTGCCAATTTAAGCTAAGTGCCAAGAATAGCTCCAAAGCAAAAATATTCCTTCTGATGAAGGTACCTTTGCTATCTCCATTGATCTTCTTCTCTTCACGCCGAAGCTGTGCATCGTATTCCCTGTCAAATTCCATCTGCAGCATCTGAGCTAGCATTAGATCACTAGAAGTGTCAATATTTTCTCCTGTAATAAATGGCCCTTCAGCAGCACTACATAAGATGAAAACAGGAATTAAAAAAAAAAATTAAACACAGCAATCTAAGCAGAAACACTGCTTTACACCACTTTCCCACTCTATACAACAGACTTCATGCAGAGCTGACAGAAAGGAATGGATCTCAGCTGTCTGCCTCCTCTTCAAGCCAACACTAAATATTAATAGATCATGACTTCATTTCTCTTTGCCACTCATTTACGATGCAAATTTTACTTAAATTTTTGCTTGTTTACCATTCAGCAAGAAGCATTAAGCTCTATTTTTAAGATGTCCTTCAGGAAAAAAAAAAGAAGGCATACAGGTGTATGTATGTGTATATCTATTTATATGTTTAAAACAACCCAAATAGTGTTGCTTTGTTCTGCTTCACAGGAAAGATAGCCAAAATTTTTATAATTTTGGAACTAGTAAGCTCTTGGCCTTTGTTTAGAGCTTTCAGGTAGTAGGAGAATACAGGTGATATACCTGAAAGCTCTCAAAATAACACTGTACACTGCTGACAAGAGTTCCTAAAAGGGTAGAAAAAAACCATTTCTGACATGTCTCTAAATATAGCTTACAGACTGCGTTAACACCCCCAGAAAATGCAAAGAAAACATCAATAAGGAAGGAAGAGCATCAGAGAAGAGAATCTAAGGAAGACTTTTAGCTGGGGAAGCCATCTTCACTGAAGAAGATTTGAGGAAGCAGAGTTGGGGCAACAGGCAAGTCATTTACTATATTGCTATGCACTGAGCACATTGTAAGAAAATGCACAAGAGAGAGAAGATGGCATCACAACTATGGAGATTACTAATCCAGGGCTTAAACTTACGCAACCACTTCGGGAAAAGCAGCATTTTCTTCTTCCAGCTGCAATTCTTTTGCCAGCTGTTCACTCATTACATCAGCAAGAGAACATGATATTGATGTTGTGCTAGGGGCTCCCCATGGACACTGTAAATAAACATTTTATTCAAGTCAGCAAGACTCTTGCAGTGGCAACACAATAATCAGGATAATTAGCTATTAATGGCTCCAAAATAAGCTCATGTAATCTTGTAAGGGCTTTTCTACAGATACTTGGGGAACCACTCAAATAGTAGAAACTCAGTCGGGAGAACGGGGTTGAAAAATTGTTGATAGTCACTCACTGAGAAGGACAAAAAGTCACTTTGTCAGTGTCGGTACCCTCTAAAGACAGGGGTAAAGCTTCCCCAGGAGGTTTTCAAACAAACAGACACACAAGCAATGTAAAACTTCTCTTGGACTAACCCAAGCGCAGTGGCTTACGCACAGCTTCCTCCCCCGCTCCCAGCGCCCCGAAAGCTCAGCCGTGGTACCACACCTCAAAACCGCACAGGGACACAGCACCTCGCTCGGGGAGGCGGCGGCTGGGGAACGAACCCAGCCAGCCGGAACTCGCTGCCCACCGCCGGGACAACCGAGCTCGCTCAGCTCCAACACCTCGGGGGGCAGCAGCTCACTTATCAGGCTGTCACAACAGCTCTCACCACCACGGAGATAGTTGCCGGTAGCAGCAAACCGCGCAGGGGTCGCTCTGCCGAGTGACCGTGACGCTGGCGGTGCTGGCACCGCCTCGCAGCGCCTTCTCCGCGGCCTCGGTGCTTCTCCTCCTGCTCCTCCAGCTCCCGGAGCCCGGACAGGTCGGGCGCGGCCCCGCGGTGCCGGCACAGCGCTCACCTTGCTCTGCCAGGCGGGGCCCGGCCCGGCGTCGGGCGCGGCGGCAGCGACTCCCACCGAGTCCATGGGGCACGCAGGGGCGGGCGGCGGCGGCAGCAGCAGCAGCGGGCTCTCTCCGCGGGGCAGCAACGCTCCCACTGCGAAACCTTCCGGGTCCTCCGCGGCCCTCCGGCGGCCCATTGGCCGGGGGTGAGCCGCCTTTCCGGTGATGTCACCGGGGCGGCTCCGTGCGGAGCCTGCCGGCCGAACCCCCGCCCCGCCGCCCCTGCCCGGGGCTGAGGGACAGCGCCGGGCTGGCGGTAACGCGAAAGGGAGAAATTTAATTTCCCACCAAGGGAACGGTGGGAGGAAAAAAAACCCAACAAATCAAACAGTAAGCCAGCGGCAAAACAAATGGATGAAATGGAGTCCAGAGAAGCGCAACGGAGCTGGTGAAGGGTCTGGAGCACAAGTTCGATGAAGAGTGGCTGAGGGGGCTGGGGGTTTATCCTGGGGAAAAGGAGGCTCGGGGGCGGCCTTGCCGCTCTCCAGAACCATCTGAAAGGAGCGTGTAGCAGCCGGGGGCCGGCCTCTTCTCCCAGGCAACAAGGACCAGAGAACACAGCCTCAAACTGCGCCAGGGGAGGTTTAGATTGGACATTAGGAAGAGTTTCTTCACAGAAAGGGTGATTAGACACTGGATAGACTGCCCAGGGAGGTGATGGAGTCACCATTCCTGGAGGTGTTTAAGGAAAGACTGGGTATGGTGCTCAGTGCCATGGTCTAGTCCACTTGGTGTTTGGTCATAGATTGGACTCAGTCTCAGAGGTCTCTTCCAACCTCATTGATTCTGTGAAATGAAATAGTTGGCATTTCTTTTTATTACTGGAAGTAACTGAGGGGACAGGAAAAAAATACAACAAATTAACCAAACCATAAGCAAACAAATTAATTTTATCCCAATCCTGCACGTCACTGTAGGTATAAATTGAAATACTTTGTGTGTGACCTGCTGCCTTTTACATCTCAACTTTATATGTAATGTTTATCTGGAACATAGTGTTGTGACTAAAATGCCTTATTTCCAGGACAGCAACAATGGGATAGTGTTTTGCTACGACACATTAGGTCTACTTGGGCAAGTTCCCTTAAAGGAAGGAAGCAATGCCTAGAAATCTCCTCTGGCTGGCTCGTCACAATCTGTTGAAGGTATCTGTCTGCAGTCAGACAAATGTGCTGTCGCAGTCACTGGTGATAATCTGAAAACCAGCCTGGGAAAGCTGGGTGGCTGCAAGGGCAGAAGTGGTAAGGGGTTCTGTGGCATCCCCCAGCCTGCTCAGAGTAAGTTCCCTATTTTATATCTAGCAAAGCCTGTACTGCCAGGCAGGCCCAATAAGAGCCATTCATATCAATTCTCAGCCATGCAAGAATCAGCTTCATCGGCCAAAGTTCCTCTTATTTGTCCTTAGCAACCTGCAATGACGTAACACATTACAATCTCCTCAGACACTCAGTTCCAGAGTTCATTAGCCCAGAAAGTTTCCAGCTAAAAGACAAACCATTTGGAAGAGGGTAGGGACCCAGCCTGTAACACACAACCTGCAGGCATGACACAGGCTTGTGCCACGAAGGCATTTTAGGATCACAGAATCATTTAGGTTATAAAAGACCTTTAAGATCATCAGGTTCAATGGTTACCACAGCACTGCCAAATGCTGGCGAGAATGACTTTGTCTGGTGATGCAGTACCAGCATGTTCCTTATCCTCTCTGCACTTAGCCCTGGTGAAAAAAGATTATTTATTTTCCTTTGCAACTGCCTTTTGGGGTATGAAGATTACTGTCATGGTCCCCTCTATCTTCTTTGTCTAAAATTAACAGTTTTATATATGAGCAGAATATCTAAGCAATGTCCTGCTGCCCTGGGAAAAATCATTATTCTTGCAGAGCTGTACAAGCACTGATTAAGAAAATGGGTTTTGGTAGGCTTTGATTCAGAAAGAACAGTAACTAAATATTATTATGTCTTGTTATTAAGTTTTTAAGTTTTTTAAGTTTTGAAAAATAAGTCTTCTACTTTGTCTCTTAAATATTTCCTGATTAGGCATTGATCCCATGACCTCTCGTATGAATGGATCAAGCTTTGAACTGAATTGTGTTAAAAAGAAATGTTCTGTGAAATAGTCTGTAAACAAAATAATTTGCGACACATTCATACCTCCCAATAAAAATAAAAATCTAGATAGAGCAGAAACTTCCCTTCATATTATCAAAATAATTCCAAAGCTGCATAGTGATTACTTTGTATGTAATACAAGTCAGTCCTGATAAACAACATCAGCAGAAATTTGCATCTTCATCACTGCAAATGGCATACAAGAATTCAAACCTGCCTCTGTATTTGGCTGTAAGAAAATATATCATCTTTGCATGAAAGTGATACCCACTGTAATAAAAGTCAAAAGTACTCTTACTGCATGCTTACATTAGTCTTTGTAGATATCCGTAAACTTTACTTACTCTTTTTTAAAGCTTTACAGGGTAAATTTGTGGCACAATGCAAAGTGTGCCTTTGTTTGCCAAATACCCATTTGACATTTGTACATAAACAGGTGCTCTGCAAAGTGGAGATGCTGTATCACTCACCCTGCCATCCCTAACACATCCCTTACAGTGGCTCATCAGTGGTCTCTGTGAGCCTGGATGGACCAAACATTTCAGCACTAGAAATCGATGTATATGTTGGGCCACTGCCTTAAAAACCAGATAGGATCATGTCTGATGCACCAAAATACTTGAATTTATCTTGGTGCAGGTCAGCTGTTCAGCTGTTGCACTCTGTTGACCTTGTCTTTTGAGACTAAATGTAGCAGGTTAGACAGGCTCATTTTATGGCCTGGATTTGACCACTTAGTGCCTCCCTCCCTCCCAAGTTTAAGCCGTGCTCATAAATAAAGTTCCTTATTTATGTTGCTTTGCTCTGTCCTCTAAAAAGAGGGTGTACATGTACAGAGAGTGCTCTGTACTTTGTGTTACCTGAACAAAGTCTAGGTAAGAGCTGCAAACATAGGGCCTTGCTAATACCAGGACTGGGAAAAACAAGGCTTACCTAGGTCATAATAAAAGATCACCCAGTAACCATGACCTGACAGGGCGTTTCTTTTCACCTGCATGGGATATTTATAGTTCACACATCACCAGTGAATCATAGAATCATAAAATGGTTGGCTGGAAGGGGCCTTTAAAGTTAACCATCTAATCCTAAGCAGGGGCCTCTTTTCATGAGTGTGAGTTTCAGACAAAATTTATTAGGGAAGCCCTCCCATTGAGCCATGAGGTGCAGAAAGGACCCCCTTGCTTTATAAATTCCGGCTCAGAGGGGAGCCAAGGTGCAGCTGAATCCAGTCTTAGCCTCAGACTGTCAGTGGTTTAACTTTAAGAAATTATAGATGTGTGATTGAACTTGAGAACAACTTTGTCCTGTAGGATAAATTATGGCAAACCAGATCTATTTATATAAAAATGAATATTATGATAAATTATTAGACAAAGAGATCTTAGACTTTGTCCTGAAGGATAAACGATGGCAAACCAGGTCTATTTATATAAAAATGAATGATATATTATGATAAATTATTAGACAAAGAGATCTTACTGAGAATAATTTACTACACACTATAGAAGATAAAACCGCTGGGATAGAATGGTACAGTGCACTCTATCAAAGCAACAAAATTGAAGCAATTCTATTAAAACTAGCAGAAAGAAATAGTTATAAAAACAGAGATTGATGTTATTCACCCATGCCAATGACCATGGGCAAAATCTCTTTCACTCAGCCTTAAGGACTAACTTTGAGGGGTGTCCCCACCCAAAGGTGGAATCTTCGTATACACTCCAAGAAGGAAGATGTTAGAAGAACCTAACCATATGGAAATGGATTGGACTTTTATAGTGTACAGTGACTGACTGTCAGTCATATATCTCCAGGTCAGCTTAGCAGCTTGTCTGCCAAATCTTTACCTCACGGTCAGGATGCTAATTTGGGGTTAATGGGTCAGACTGGTGTTGTCATAATTCAACACCATAACCAGCTTGATGCCCTCTCTCAGTCCACCACTGGACTAACAGCCTCGTAAATAAGGCATTGTCCAAGTTGCTTGACCACATTCCAGGGCAGGGCATCTTGCTAAAGGTCTTCAGCTAGATCAGGCTGCTCTGAGCCCCGTCCAGCCTGGCTTTGGCCACTTCTAGGGATGGTTGTACCCACCACCTGTTCCAGCGTCTCACCATCTCGCCGTAAAAAATATCTTCCTTACATCTAGTCTAAATCCGCCCTCTTTCAGTCTAAAGCTATTCCCTCTACATGCCCATGTAAAAAGTCCCTTTGCAGCTCTTTTGCAGGTCCTCTTTAGGTACTAAAAGGTGTAAGGTGCCTCCAGAGCGTTCTCCTCTCCGGGCTGAACACCCCGAGCTCTCTCAGGCTGTCTCCACAGGAGCGGTGCTCCAGCCCTCTGATGATCTTCGCCTCCCTCCTCTGGCCTTGCCTCAACAGGTCTTTCCCGTGCCGAGTGCCTCGGAGCTGGGCGCAGCACTCCCGGTGCGGTCCCACAAGGGCAGAGGAGGGGGGACAATGCTCTCGCTCCGCGGCCGGTCACGGTTCGGCCGCTGCCTCCCGGGCCGCGGCGCTGCGGGCCGCTCCGGCCGCCCCGGGCCCGGCACGGCCGCGACGTGTCGCTGGCCCGGCCGATGGCCGCCGCCCGCCCGCCGCGCTCCGCGCCCGCGCTGACCCATGTATTTGAAGAGGCCGGCGGGCGGCCTCGCCTTCTGCCTCTTCTACCTGGCCTCCAGCTTCACCAACAAGGTGAGCGCGGGCGCGGGGCCGCCCCGGTGTCGGGCGGGCCGGGCGTGGCGCGGGGAGGTCCGCGGCTGCGGGAGCGGGGGGCCAGGGAAGTGCAGGGATCCCGGAGCGGGAGGAGGAGAAAGAGGAGAGACGGTGCCCTATGCTTTCCCTGCCCTGCTCAGCGAGAGCCGCGGGACCAGCCCTTCCCGCGCGGGACTATCCCACGAGTGAGAAAGTCCGTGGCACTCCAGCCCGCCGCCCATCCCAGCGTGCTCCCGGAACTGCGGATACGGTGCCGGTTTCGTTTTGCTCGGTGTGGGACAGCTTTACCCTTCCACGACAAATGAGTTCCATTATTGTCTTGTTTAGGAGAGCAAGGAGGTTGACATCATATTGTTCCAATGACTGAAGTGTTATAGAGCCAGAAGTTTCACTGCAATGAATGTATCGCTGATGCTGTATATATTTCATTATTGGGTATATGGCAACTGCCAAAAGATCTGTTAACTGGAACAATGATGTCAACTATGCGAGGGAAAAATGTGAAATATTCAAAGTGTTAATTTAGAAGTGAAATAAATAGCGAGCAAAGCAACATTGTTACTTTGACAATTAATCACCAAATTAAGTTCAAGAATTTTGTTTTCCACCCTGTAACAATTTCTTATGAGTGTTGCTCAAGTGTCTAAGCAGAAGAAAGAGGCTGAAGATGGCCACATTGTGAATAAAATTCTGTTGTTTAAGTATAGTTTGAAAGTAGCTTTTTCACTCTGGGAGGAGGAGTTAGAGTAACTGCTCCATGCTATCCTGTTTGTCAGAGAGCATGTCTCTATTTCTGGTACAGATTTCTGAAAGAAAAAAAAAAATGGTGAAGCAATCAGAGTATGAATATTCTGAGGGAGGATTAGAGAAAAGCAGCATTTCAGACATGAAAATGAAATCTTTCTGGGCATTGGCCAGTGGTTTCTGTTCCAAGATACATTTGCCATTAAGGATGCCCAGAAGTAGACTGAAGTCCAGACAGGAAGCAAAGTTGTAGGGAGAGATAATGCACTTGATTTGGCAGACTGCTGGGGGCAGTGATTAGTTTAACAGAAAGGGGTTAAAAGAACTGCCAGGTTGCATCATGGATTGGGAAGCGTATTTATTTGGCTTAACTTGCTTGAGAGGAGGTCATAGGGACATTGACATAGGGCCTCCATTTTCAAACCTGCATGTAGGTTTTAGTGCAATAAAGTTAAAAATAACCAGAATGAAGGTGGTGTGCAAATGCAAGCAGGGGCACAGACGTGTAGGTAGATTGCCCTGATTTAAAATGCACTTGGCATTTCTGACAGCTGTATGTGTAAAAGGACCTGTTGTGAATTCACATGACTTATCTCTGTACTGATGCCAGATGCTTAGTGACACCCCACAAACCTGAAAACTGGACCTTGCAAGGTGCTCAGCACAGTTTTCTCTCTGCTGAAAGCTTTCAGCTTCTCCTTTTGCCTTTGACAGCTTCTGCTGGCTCCTGGAAGGAACAGCAGGTACCTTTCATTTCCTCTGAGGAAGCTTCAATCATTCTTCTCCTTTGCAGAAGTGGTATTTATATACTGCATCATGGCAAGTTGTGAGACCTGGAAGGCATCTATTTGTGCCTCACATTTACATATATACATATTTAGTGTGAAGAGACACTAGCATCCATGCGTGCAGGCTAAAGCAATGACACAGATTTTGCTTTTTACCCCATGTATTACATCTCTGATGGGCTTTATGGGCTGCTTAATATTTTACACAAAATAGTGTGTAAGCAGAATGTTGAGTCTGTAAGATACATTAGCAATAAGGAGACAATTATGTTTAGATTATTGCTTTTGGTTCTGCCAAATATTGCCTCTTTGGTATGATATGATTTTAATTGACTGGTCGTTATGGCTTTTTGCTCCTTTTCCATTCAGTGTGATGTATGGACTGTGTTCAGAAAGTGAAAGTGCAATTCAGATGCCAGCCTTCTCCATTTTTCAGTGTGTCCCCTCCATGCCTCATGTGCTTTAGTGTCTGTTCTTTCCACAGTGACTGAGGCAGCATCCAGCGGTTCTGGTGTGGGAAGTATCATGAATGAGTGGTTTAGATCACTCAGAGAATCACCAGCAAAGGGATGGGCAAAAGCAGATTTAATATTAAAGTGAAATCACAATAAAATTTGTTGGTGAGGTTCATTCTACTGCAATCAATACTACATTATTACATCATTATTGCATTACTACATCATTACATCTATGACATCATTATTAGATGCTTAAAGCAGAGAGAGAAAAATCAAACTAAAATCAATCAATCTAAAAATCAATCAACCTAAAATTATCTACATGGAAGTAAGAACAAGAAAGGGCAAGGATAAAAGGGAATAATATACACTGAGTTACAGCATTCATAGTGCTAAACTTAACCCCAGATTTGATGAATGGTTTAGTCTAAAGGTTATAACAGCACTTAAACATAGCAGCTCTTAATCAAAAGCTTAATTCAAACAATTTAACAAAACATTCATGTAGAATTTAATATAGGCACAATAGTGACTCTCAATCTTACTTACAAACCTAATGTACGTAAGAATCAAAGACAGCAATATTCATAATGAATTTGCTACAGCATATCCACATTCACACACAGTCAGACCTAAATGAACATGTACAAGGTATACCCAGGAAAAATTCCCCTCAAATTCAATGAACTACTCACTTTTGATGTCCTTGCATCTTCTTCACAGGCAAAGGGTTGAGTCTTGAGGAGTAGATGGTATCAGCCCAGGATCCATCATTGTCCTTCAGAGATCTTCCAAGTGTAGCAAACTAGCTGGCTCTGAGAGGTGTCCCACTCAGAGAGAGGTTGCTGGTTGCATCCTGCTGTGGTCCAGGAGAGCTTAAAGGGTCACATTCAGGACTGCTGTTTATAGGGTCACAAGAGGTTTGGGTTTAGACCAGAGTGATTTTCCTTCCTGACCTCAATGCGAGTTGGTAACTTTCTTTGAAAGTTCAATAACAAAAATGTTGAACCACTTGGGTTCTTATACAGGCAAGAAAAATTAATCTCCAGGGCTGTTTGTTATAAAGCAGGAGCTTGCTCGACAGCATTAAGTTCCTGAGAGCCGACAGCGTTTCTGATGAGCTCAAGTGGAACTTAGCCCAGATGCTGTTAATTGAGATTGAGGCCTATAAGGCATTTCAGAGATCATAGTGCAGCCCTGTGAGGGAAGGGGGAGGAAATACACCACAACAAGTGAAATTGCTAAACATTTTTTTTCTCTTTTCTACCAAAATAAACAAAAATGAGAACTTTTTGTGTTTGCTTTGTTGCTTGTGATTGTTTGTTAATATTATGAACTGTAGGTGTTTGATGTCCATTAATTTGCTATTTGTTTTCCAGTATGTCCTGTCTGTCCTGCAATTTACCTACCCTACACTTTTTCAAGGGTAAGTATGGTTTTAAGAATAGTGGTTTTAAAAATGACTTTAACATGCTGAAGCTAACTTTACTACTTCTTGTTCTTATCGGATTTTGCTGTCTAGAGAACATGCTTCATGAACCCTCAATAAAACATTCATTAATGTGTCTTGGTTAATTTCTAAACATCATGGGGTGATGTAATTGAGATATGTAGAGTCCACAATTTCTCATTTTCCTTAAAATCCTAAGCTTCAGCATAGAAAAGTAACAATTTCAGTACAATCTCTCTTCTTTGGAAGAGAGGAAAATGTGTATTTATGGTGCATTCTTTTGCTGTGCTAGAGAAAACCAACCTTAAAACCATCTTTGGGCATTCACAAATACTATGTTCCTTGTTTTCATGCTTAGCCTTGGTTGTAAGTCTGCATCACGAGTCACAATCATGTTAATGGCTGTAATGAGACAATTAATGTTTTGATAAATGTCCATATATACACCATCAATGCTGTTGATGAGACATTTAATGAAAATCTGGTGTCTTAGAGCCAAGTCTTTCCCTGTTTTTGATACGGTGTTAAAACCTACAGACACTGGGTATCTTTACTTCCTCTTCTGCTGCTTAGCATGGCTTACATTTTTGCCTGACTTGCAGTCCCAGGACTGCAATCAACTCTAGGAATAATTACCTTGGGAATCTTCACTTACTTTGAATGTATTCAGCTCAATTAGATATGCAGTGAATGCTTTCTCAGTTTTGGCACACAGACAGAGACTGTCTCTTGCATAAGGCTTTTATCATATGGGGAGAGGACTTTGAGTAATTTGTGTAAAATAGGTGTGGTAAATCAACAGAAAAGTGTACTTCAATGGCAAGCAACTGCCTTTGGCATCTGTGTTGCTACAGTTATTTCCTTTTTCTGTTATTTGGAAAGACATTTCAGCAACTTAATATTTTTCCATAAGTTCTGGCTTTTAAAAATGACCTTTCCTTGAATTTTTTTATGTCTCAGATCACTTTCATTTAGACTTGTGACAGGTGATCAAAGAGGAAAAGAATGTAATTCTCAGCTCATGATGTTACTGTTCATTGTCCTTGGCTTTGTTCCCTGTATAATCTCAGACTGTACTGCATAGTCCCAAGCATCTGAAACTGTCACAAACTTCTGTCCTTAAAACCTGAGACACGAGGAAATTTTTCACAATAAAGCTGATGGGATTTCACCACTGGCTTGTATAGAGCACAGTCAAACCTGCAGCAAATGTCAGGGAAACCTGGCTTTTAAGCTCTCATATGCTCTTCATCCAAAAAAAGATTAAGTGAGCTGTGATAGTAGCATTGAATATTTACCACTATGCACTAGTACTGCATAGAGTGAATATTTGTTTATTTGTGAATGTGTGAGAAAGATTTTAAATAATTGCTGAAATGCATTGCAATGAATGGGAATAATAAATAAGCCGACTTCTATACCTGCTATGGATATTAAATGGCATTAACATTATAATACAGTATCTCTGTCTGAACTGTGCTAGATATTCAAGGATATTCACCCAAGGAACATGGAACACCTCTCTGAAAACCACTAGCTTAAGGAAGAAGAAAGCTGATAACTTGTAAAGTGTTAAAGAAAGTGATAAAATGTAAAAGAAATCAGTATGCATTACTTGCTACTTATTCTAAGTTATCTGCACATATTCCCAAGGCCTCACATATTATTTCCCAGTGTCATTCTGTTTCAGGTGGCAAACATTGGTGGGTGGACTTCTGCTTCACATCTCCTGGAAGCTGGGCTGGGTGGAGATAAACTTGTGTTCAAGGTACTGTAGGTTTTTTGGTATCTGCCAAACACTTATTTTCTGTTGCTGGATTACAACATATCTAAGTTGGTCATGGATGTTATTAACTGGCTAAAATAGAGTTTGATGTCAGTGTTCTGCTTCATAGATGTAGAAGAGAACTCACATTTTAGTTAAGTGGGTATTGAATGACACACGCTTAAACCAACTACTTACATAAAGTGGATTTAATTTAACCTTAGTAAGACAACTAAAAAGCCCATAGTGAAAACAATAAGGATGTCTTATCCAAACATTTGTCCCTAAGAAACAATCTCTTCCCTGGATTGTTTCTTAGTATTGTAAGAGAAACCTTGGTAATGTTAGTTAAGAATATTGACACAATCTTACGCAAAACCCTCAGGGCTGTGAAGTCTACAAATGTGATCTGCCTTTTTCTGAGAGCTGTGTTGCATAAATGGGGATCATTTGCCTTTTCCTAACTAATGTTATCAATAAAACTCCAAATTAAATGGTGCTTTGCAGACAAAGATCATCTGCTTGAGCTGAGTGTGACAGCACCATTCAGAAGAGTCATCATGCTGTACTCTGCTCAGGTGGATCCTATCTGCAGTATGGAATGCAGCATCTTTTTCATTGCCCAAAATGGTATCTTTTAGAAGATGTATGCCCACAACAATAATTGGATCTTCATCTCAGGAGATACTAAAAACCTTCCTGGGCAATGAGCTGAGTAATGTGACTTGACTCTGAAGCTGGGAGAGTTGGGACTAAATGCCTGCCAGACACCCCTTCTAATGTAAATCTTTCTCAGTGATTCTGTATTACCAAGTGATGACAACTGATGAACTTTCTCTTTGAGATTCAAACAGTTGGCTTGAAAAATTGAATTTCCTCACTTGGAATGAAATCCTGTGAGTATGTCAGAAAAACCAGGCTGTGTTCTATTTTCATGTCCATACAAGTGATTACATCACTATGGAAATATAAGTGAGGTTGTAAATGAAAACAGAATTCAGTTTCCTATTTTATAGCTGCAATAAACTGAGGATATCATAAAAGCTGTCAGTGACTTTGGCAGAGACAGATTAGGGTCCAAACCTTGCTTTCCTGGCAGTTACTGATACATATATATATTATTATCAAATTTATTTTGTTTATGGAGATTTTGTTGTCACAAAACAGAAGAATACAGTAATGTCCTTTTATAGTTCAGCTTTTCTACACTAATGATTACTTCTGCTTCAAATAATGAAATTGAAGTAGTTGAATCTTTTTTTTCCCAGCTTGGAAAAGATACTTTCATCTTTTCAAAACTTGGGAAGACATTAAAGAAAATAGAGGACTAGAACCACTCGCTGATGTTAAACAGGTTGTTTTTATCTAAGAAAGGCTTGGATGAAAAATTAGTTCATGTTTTGACCCTGGAGACTTGAGGCCACTAGATGTCAGCACACTGTAGGGAAAGGGGTTGAAATCCCTCTTGAGAAACCTCTTTGTTAGCTTGGTTAATACAGAGTACCTGTTCTAGTATAGACTGAATGGAACAAGCAGAATTAATTTACATGTTTTGGCTATAATTCATCCAGCTATTTAAGCATGAGTTTAAACCTGCCTTTCTTCACAAAGATTGGGCACATGCTTTAATGCTTTGCAGAGGTGGATTTGTAACATTTATCTCCTGAAAAAAAAAATTCAAAGCCAAAACAAAAAGCAGCCTGAAAACCCAAACATGGAAACCCTCTAAACCTCAGAAGCACTACTAACAAGAAAAACTCACCAGCAAACAAACAAACAAGCATGACATGCAAAGGGGATTTTAATGCTACTACTGGGATTTCCATCCCCTCTGACAAAATACCTGTCTCTGAATCTGTCTTTTGGTTAGAGGGGAGGGTTTTGTCTATGTGTAGGATACTGAGGAATATCATAGCCAGTTTTCAGTCTCAAATGCTTAAAATAATAAACTGCCATCCATTTGTTCATTCATATCCACAAAGTCTTGATTTTTCTGTCACATGGACTGATCTCATATACTTTCTGAGCCAGTTCAGGTTATCCCAAAATGTCTCAGCAAAATTAAGTTATTACATAGAGATCCTTGCCCTTTGTCTAAAGTCCAGAATACTAACCTCATTATAAAGACCAAATAAAAACATATTATTTAGAGTCTCAGGTTTTGTGGATAACCTACTTTGCCTCTGCTTCCCCCTAGGACATACTGTAAGGAACTTTCTCTCATTACTTCTAAACAGCAATGTTGACTGTCTGCAAAGCTTTTATCCAAAACAAGGGCTCTGTGGAGAGCAGAGCAACATGTAGCATCTGCATAATGCTTCCAGTCTGCTGCCTAGCTGTTGTAGGCACATAAATCTGATGTGTTCTGATTGGCATTTCTTGTAGTGCTGCATTTCACCCACAGCTAAGCAGCAGCTCAGAGGTTTTTTTTAGAGTGTTGTTTGGGTGAACCTACCCATTGCCTACCGTGGGATTTGGAGTTAGCCCTTTAACAACCACAAACTCATCCGTTCTCTTCCTACTTTGCATGTACATTACTGTATTGCCAAGAGGAGAAGCTGCTAATTGGTTTACATACAAGACAGATTGTTGATGCTGACATGCTACTTCAAACATCCGTGCATTCTTTTTTCAGTCCTAAAATTCCCACTTGGCAGCATAAAATTCTACCCTTACATCATGGAAAAAGCATCTGAAGTCCTTTTCCATTGCACTTCGCAGAATTGCATTGGAGATAAAGACATATTTGGGATTCCTACAATTTAGTGGTGGGGAACATGAAAGAGTGATATTTTTATGTTCTAAATGAAAATTTGTTTTTTATCATGTGTTTCTTTTATCTTCCCAGAACTACTTTTTTTTCTTCCCTCCTCTTTCTTCAGTTTGTTGCTGTTCAAATAGTGCAGGGCTATTTTTGTTGGTGTCTGATGTGAATTCATTGTTAATGAAGTATGACAGTATTAGATCTTGGACTTGATGAAATTCCAGTTGAAGTCAATAACCTCAAAAAAACCAGTGTTTTTATAAAAATTTATGGAGACTAGTCAAGAAAACCCAGGGCAAATATTTATGCCAGTTAAAGGATCTAAACATTATTTTTGTGACCTGGGGTTTTTGTTGTCTTGGAAAATTATATATATAATAACAGAGGAAATGTAGTATTAATGGTTTTTCCCTAGTCTGTGATTACATGAATCTTTGTGCATGTTTTATCTTTGTTCATACTGTTCTGATTTCATTCTTTAGTGGTCTGTTTTCTTGTGTTCCATAAAATGTGTTGGTGTATCAGTATCTACAATTACATTTCAAGTCTTACATCTTAATTGAAGTGTAATGCAAACTAAGGAACTACAAGCAGTTTGGTTTTGTTTTGAGAACCAGCACTGCCCATTAATGTTTTCTCCACTTTAATTCAAAGGTTGGGAAGAGTGAGTGAGACAGCCATGCCTTCAGTCCTGGGAAACCCTCAATTCAGGCCTTTACCTCACGGCTATTCTTTTCTTCCCTTGCCAGAAATCTTACATTATTCTCTCTGAAATTTACCACTTACCTGATCCCTTTTCTTCCGTTAAGTAACAAGATCAAAAATAGAAGTGCAGGTTCTGAAGCCCCTTCTCAGAACTGAAACCTGACTCTACTGCAGTAACCATGGCTAAAAAAAAATTAATCAGATCAATCTGATGACTTCATTCCTCCATTAGTTGTCAAACTGCCTCTAGGAGTTTGGCTTAGTCAAAGGAATACGATTAGGAAATCTCAAGAGATAGGCTTCCACAGAGACAATCTGATCTTTAGGAAGAATCTCTTTGTAAATCTGGCTGAGAAATTAATGTGTGGGTGGCCCAGTGCATTTGTACATGGTGAAAATGTGTGCTGTCTGTGCATGTGAGCCATTTTATGCCTTCATTTGTCAGGTTTCGTTCCTTTCACAGAGCATCAAAGAAATTAGTTGAAATGTCTTTCCTTTAATACCAATGGGAATAATTTCTAAGGGAGGAAAAAAATCAAAAAACAACATGATTTTAGAGGGAGAGGAGCTGGGGAAAGAGTAAAATAAAGAAAGTATATCTGCAGTTAGTTCCTCTCTTGCATTAGACAAAATTAATAATTTCTAATTTGGACTCCTTAGTAAATGGGAAGAATAATGAGCAATCTGATGCTGCCTTTTACATGCACATTTGAAATTAATGTACATATGTACATATTATTACATTCCTTGCAAGCAACTGTTGCTTTCTGTATGTAAACAGAATGTGGTGAAATAATGGGATTTTAATTGTTTTCACAGGTCTGAAATCCTGTCATGGCTTCCTGCATCAGTACTTTTTGTGGGCATTATTTATGCTGGCTCCAGGGCACTGTCTAGATTGGTAAGAAATGAACCAGTAGAAGTCAGGTCTTTATTACCTCTACTTTGTAAACAAAGACCATTCCCTTCATACATGGTGTTTAATGATGTTCCTGGGTTGAGGGAGAAGGAGGGAGGAGGACTTTAAATAATAGATCCATTGTTAGTGGAGCTAATGCAGTGGTCCAATCTTACTAAGTATCAAACAGCATCTCTGTGACAGTCTGAAGCACTCAGCATCTCTACAGAGTACTTCGTGTTTTGCTGAACAGATCCTCAGTGGTCTGAATTGTACAGGTAGGGAAGAAGCTGAAGAAATCAGTAGCTCTAACTTTGCAAAAAGAAGAATGGGTTTGTGGGATGTGTGAGAAATCCTTCCAGGAAACTGATGAAGACTATTTCAATGAGAAGGTTTTGATTCTTTGCAGGATTAAAAAAAAATAGAAAGTTGGAAAGAGATTATGGGAAGGGTTAGATTACTCCATTTTAGGATTCATTCGCATCACAGTAATTTACCAAATGTTTACAGAATGTCAAATCTCCTTTCATGAAACTTGAATGCTTTATGCTTAAATTATATAGTCTTCTCTAAAACAAGTAAAATAAATTGGTGGCATTTATTTTTTAAAAATAACAATATTTTGATGCTGTTGCGCAGTCTGCAAGCTCAGATCCTGCATGAGTTCCCTTCTGCATTCTGTGTATGCATCTTAATGTAGCTCCAGAGTCAGCTTGTCCCTGTCACCTCCTGAGCCCTAAACAGGATCAAAAGGGACTTTTTTACCAGATTCTGATTGTAGTGATCCCTTGAAAATCCCAGTAGACAGATAGAGCAGAAAAGAAGAGGAGGTCTCTGTCCTTGTAAGCAAGGTTGGAGGCGCAGAATCAAAAGGGACTGTTTTTACCAGATTCTGATTGTAGCAATCCCTTGAAAATCCCAGTAGACAGAGCAGAAAAGAAGAGGAGGTCTCTGTCCTTGTAAGCAAGTTTGGAGGCCTTATCTTGGACACAAATAATCTTGGGATAGCATGTGTTCAGAAGCCCCATGCTCTGTTATCAGTTCTCTCTCAGTGTGATTGCATTTGCATTTACTTCCTCTTGCTTCCTTGTCAAAGGAAGTTCCACTTTCCTTCTTTAGTGTAAGGTAAGAAAAGTCCCATAAGGAAACTCTGTCTGGAAGCATAGCAGCAGCCTCTTTTCTCCTTACTCACCTGGGTGGTGGAGAAGTTAAGAATCACAACCTCTCTGTTATTTCTTCTTACTTCCTGGTCATCCTGAAAGTTGCTGTATTTACCTCCTGCTCTGGTCCTTCATGAGTGAACTGCACTGGAGTGGCAGAAGGGCTGTGAAGGGTTTTGATACGTATCCCAAACCTTTCTTAAGGAGCATCTCACTTTTCTTAGTGGCTTTTGTTGTGCATGAATGGGGATTTAGAGATCTAATTCTGTGGCCATTTTACAAGGCATGGCAAAATGAAAAGCAGTCTTAGGCCATAATTATTATGTGCTGTCTTGTAGTGGAGCTAAATTCAATCCTATGTAGAAGCTTTACTTACAATAATTTTGTCTACAACAATTTTATGACACAGTGAAAATGAAAGTGGACTCTCCCAAACTCATAGCTGAATTGGCTCATCTCAACAGCATATTTTAATTAAGTGGGTTTATTTCTAAAGCAGAAATAATGTGTACTTTTATTATCAAATCCAAGGGGACCCACTTTCAAACATTCCTGTATACTGGCAAATCTGCAACTTTAATCTGTTTGTTCCTCTTCCTAGAGGTGCTGGCAATCTCCCCAGACCAAGGATTCAGGGCTAGAACTGGAGGAGGATTGCTTAGCTCTGGACTGTGGTGATTTAAAAAGTATGCAAAGCCATGAGAGGAGATTTGTTCAGAGTGTATTCACCCTACCTGCCCAACCAGTAAACCTTTCTTTTCATAAGCATTAAGCCCATTCACAAATTAAACACTTGCATCAAAGGCAATAAGCATATGGAGAAGGTTAAGTGGGCTAGGCAAACTGGAGCCATTGTTGGCTCCAAAACACATTTGGAAGAGCCAAAACCAGAAGGGAGGAAAGAAAAACCCAACAAATTTGCTTTCACAAAGGGAAGAATGTAAATTTTGCTGTCAACTTTCCTTGTTTATGGGTATTTCTTATATTTCCTATTACTGTGTCAAGCTCAGAGCGCTTTTGTGTTTAATACTTCTGGGTTTATGTTTTCAGTTATCCAGCAACAGGGGTGAGAATTGGTTTTCAGTACTAATGAAGCTGGGTCCAACAATTTCATGCCAGTTGTGTTTGTGTGACTTCCATTCTTATTTTGGTGCAATTCTTGTGACTATGGACCCACTCCAGCTGTCATTAAGACTTAAATGTTTAATCAGCAATGCTTATCTGGCTTCTTTTCTTTAACATGTAAAGAAAAGAAAATTACAGAAAATATGCTAAGTCACATTTGAGAGATATTTGCTGCTTATATCACCTGGTACTTAAAAGTTTGGACATCACTGAGAAGTTAATCCATTCCCTGCTACTGTGCTTTAAATACCATACACGAGTGGGGAAACACTGCTTCCTAAAATGGCTTAGTCTTTAGATTATCTTAATCAAAGCAGAGAATTGCTTCTGTTTCAGCTGTCTGAGAGACCATGGATCTGATTTGGAGGAAGTATTATGAACCACTAATTCTGGTTGAGTTTGCCTGGGGCAATGGGTGTTTGATTCATTATTGTTATCATTAGGGTTTGTTTCTTAATGATTTCATGTTGGGATGGTGTCCAGATACCTCAGTGGGTATAATTTCAACATCATTGTGTATGAACTATTGCATTTCTATCCTAATTTTGGGCAGCTCTTCCTAGCAGTAACTGAAAGCAATCACCTAAAATTGTCTTGCCGATAAATCTGTTGCTAGGAGTCACACTGTATTCTTAGTACCAGCAGACAGAGATGGGACAACAAATGAGAACTGTTTACTGTGGAGGCTGAAGATCCTGGATCAGAGAGGGAAGACTAAAGGCTGGAACCTGAAGCAAATCTCACTGGGGTAGCTGGGTACAAACAAACTGACTGAGCACTCAGCAGTGGGAGACACTGCAAGCAGGTCTGCAGAGGATCTGCATTTAAAGATGCCTGTGCCCATGTGCTAGTGATTGGAATGGGTTAAGGCTCTTTTAGGTGATGTGGCATGGGTTTACAGCTTCAAACACAAAACCCCAAACCACAGACATGGGACAGCTGCTTCTAGAAGGAGTGCCCCTTCCTATGAGTGTGACTGCTCTGGGTTGATTTGAGCATTTTTGTTGTCTCCCCATGGCAGCCAATCCCGGTGTTCCTCACTGTGCACAACGCAGCAGAAGTCATAACCTGCGGGTTCCAGAAGTTCGTGCAGAAAGAGGTAATTGACCTGTTAGTCAAGGTAACTCCTGTGGTAGAACTGCCCCAGAACAAGGTACCTAATTTCTCTTAATACAGACATTAGTGCCATGTACTTTTCTGGACTCACTGTAATAGCAATTCATTAATGAGAATCCTGAGAGAGCTTTTTGCTGTTGACAAGTATCTATACTGATGTTTCCTTTCCCCTTATTTGATGAAATACTGCAAATACATATCACCAGTGTGATCTCCATTTTTAAGTCTGGCTTGGCCCTTCTTATTTTTTTCTTTTGAAAATTAATATTCCCTCTCTCTCATGCCCCACATAAAAGTCTCATTGTTTGAGCTGAGAGGAATGAGGACTATGTCCTTAGATCTAATCAGTAAAATAGATCTTGTGTATTGTATGCTTACAGATAGGTCACATCTCCACATAAAATGCAGGAGGAACAGTGCATTTTTGAATCTGTTTTGAATGTTTGAGATTTTGCCCCTATAATGTCAGGAGAATAACTCTTGTACCCTTTTGTAAGAACTGGTTTATTGTGGTTGTTTTTTTTTTTGTTTTGTTTTGTTTGTGTGTTTTTTTGTTTTGGGTTTTTTGGTTTGGTTTTTTTTTTTTTTCCGTACAAACTGCATTGGAGAGCCTTCTTTTAAGGCTTTTTTGAAATGTTTTTCTAACTGACTACAGAGTTGCTGTGTGAGCTAACACTGGGAAATCATTCATCACAAAGTTGTTTCTACAGTGGCCTCTGGCTTGCTGTGAAAGGCATCTTCCATTCATTATAACTGGTTTTTTTGTATAGAAGACAGATAAATGGCTGTTTACTTCATCTAACAAACAGAAGAGATCACTAAGGTTATGCCTAAAGGACATAGCAGTGTGTACCCTGGCATGTCCTTGTGTCATTGTCCTCTGATTAGTCTCCCTGTCAAAGTGTTTCATATTTTCCTTCTATGTCACAAGCTTATGACTCCTCTCTTTAAAAACAAAAGCACTACAAACAAGGATAATGCAAACACAGGCCTAATGGAAAGCTCCTCAAGAATAATTTCATATCAAAGAATTGGGAAAATTTCATGAGTTTAGATCAAGATTGGTTTGTATGAGGTAGTACCCAATTAGGAAAACTCAATATTTGAGTACATGCGTTATACAGTTTTGGTACAATTCAAGTCAAGTTTGAGGAGCAGGTATTTAGTTCATGTCTGGTTTTAAGTTTACTTGCTGGTAAGTAATCTGAAAATATAAATCAAGGTGCAGTGGGCTGATCCATAATCCTGATTCTTCTTTATCAAATTAAATTTGCTAAGCAGTGCTCAAATTTTGAATGCTGCTCATTGAAGTTTTAATGTGTATGGTGCAGTAAGATCAGCTGTCATCACTTTCCAGTTTTTGGAATGAGAAAACACTGTTTTAACATTTTTATAATTAAATTTTAATGTTTTAATCATACTTTCTTTTTTACAGCAGACCTCTCATCTGAAAGTCTGTAGGTAAGCTTTTAAAACTACTCAGATTCAAATTCAGACTTGTTTTGGCTCCAACTCCTGTATTTGCTTCAGATAATGGCACACCAAAACAATGAAGAATGTGAGGCACATTCCTGTGGGCAGTGAGCCTAAGTTGCAACATAGGAGTAATTAAATATTTTTAGGTCTTTTTTAGCAATTGCTTGCATAGTTTGATATGTTTTTTCTCCTTGTAAAAATGAAATTAATGATAAAACAACCCATAACAATGCTTTTGGAAAGGCTTGAAAGGTTTCAACTTCCAGTAGGTAATCGTAAACAGTAAGAGAAAGATAATTAATGTGTTAGAAAGTAGCTAAAAATTCCCTTCCTTAGAAATGAAAGGTAAATGAGATCCATTTCTGCTAGAATCATTCATAGCGAGGTGGGGGTCAGTCTCTTCTGCCATGTCTCAAATGAAGGGACAAGAGGAAGTGGCCTTTAATTGCACCAGGGAAGGTTCAGATTAGATATTATGGAAGAAAAAAATCACAAGAATGGTTTGGCATTGAAATTGCCCAGGGAGGTGGTGGGGTCACCATCTCTGGAAGTGTTCAAGATGTGCAAAGCACTGGGGGTTATGGTTTAAGGTGATTACAGTGGCACTGAGCTGACAGCTGGACAGATGATCTTGAAGGTCTCTTCCAACCTTGATGATTCTGTGATATTAAGCTGCACAACTACCAACCCTTGGTGGCCCTGGTTGTTTAGGCTTCAAAAAGGAGATGGAAAGAGACAAACAGAAATCAACCAGTCATGTGTTCAAATTTCAATTCTGTGCCCCCACATCCCCTTGAAGGATGGTATTTGCTGTCTTCCACATCCTGTAATCTTATAGCTGTACTTTAGAATGGATAATGTTGGGTTATTATGTAGTGTACTTAGAGGCATTATCTTCCTAATTTCTTCCTGTTGTTTCCATTATCTAACTATGTGGCCTTGTCTTCACCACTAGATTATTGTCAAGGATACCATTTTTAAAATAATCTTTATTCTGTCTTTTCCCATGCCTTAGAGAGTAGGAAAATAAGCTGCAAAACCAAGTGTATGTTAATATTAATAGTGACAGTCCACAGAAATTCCACAGTGTATTCCCTGTAGCTTAAAGAAATACTGACTCAGCCACAGATTAAGAATTTATTTAGCTTAAGTTGGTGGACTAGGAGAGGACTTGTGCTGTCCTGAAGACATTTCCAGTATATGCCAGTCAATTCCACCTTGTTCTGTGCTCTGGAGTAATAGTGTCACTTGTAATGGAGTCACATCTGCTGGAATTGCTGTAACAAGCAATTAGTCTCAATGAAAGAACTTTTTGGTAGCCATTCAGCCAGAAATTGGCTGATTTGGGCTCTTTGAAAAAGCCTAGGGAAGCCACATGGCTAGTGAAGAAAAATATTCTCTACCAAAAAAAACTTGTTTTTATCACTTCTGAGGTGGTTTGTGCTGCTTCTCTTCCCGTAAAACTTTGCCGTGCACAAGTTATGAAGAATGCATTACGTAAAAATTTTGGTGGTAAAAATTATTTTTTAAACATGGAATAAGAAAATTAAACATGTGAAACATCAATGTAAAATGGAGTGAAATTGCCTCCACTTTGCTGGGAGTAGAAATCCAGGTTGAAAGCTTTTGGTCTTGCTTTTTTTTTTTTTTTCTTTCTGTTCTCCACAGTGTGCTGTTCCTCCTGGCAGCAGCAGTGTGCCTTCCTTTGTGTGACACACAGGTGAGCTCTTTTTTGTAAAGCAGCTTGAGCTAGGCCTTGATGCTTGACATCTTGTTAGCATATGGGGGATGCAGCTTTTGCTGGTAAGCTAGAGTAGGTTTCCTACAAGGGAATTGTAAATGTTTTCTTTTGCTGTGTTGTGGTCTTGCTGGGTTTACTGTGTTTGCATCATGGTAAAACCTCTGAGCAGTGTGGACATACAGTGAAGGTGGTGGCTGGGGAAACCATAGTTTTACTTCTTAATAGTGCTCACAGCGAATCACTTAGGTTTGAATTAGTTGTGTGCACTTTCAGGAATTTCCTGAATTAGTTTTCTATTCACTGTACACACCTTCTGTAGCTACCTGAGAAGGAAAGGAGGTGCCTCCAAAGAGCTGTCCATTCAGGAAAGATCTAATCATTGGAGATTCTCTTTTGGAGACTTAGGAAAGCTGCTTCCTTGCTTTAGATACCTCAGTTGATATCTGAAGTCAGACAAGTCTGGAAACTGGTGTACACATCTGAAATAGAATTATCCTTGCTGATACGAGCTGAGAGCCCGTATAACTGGCATATGCCAAGTTTCTGAGTGTGACAGGAAGAATTTCAGTCTTCCTAACCTTCTTTAGTCATCTTGCTTTTCTTTGTAGCACAGCTCCCACTTGCTGTACTTGCTTTGCAAAGCTAAGTGCAGGAAAATTGCAATATGTATGTTTACATGATCATGCTTTTATTTATGTTGATGTTCTTTATTGCAGTTTGATCCAAATGGATATTTATGGGCTCTAATTCACTTGATCTGTGTTGGTAAGTAATTTTCTTCTAGAAAAAGAATTAGGAAGAGTAAATGTGTTGGAGAAACCAATTTATTATGAAATTACTGATATTTGAGACTCTATATGTAAGAAACACTTGGAAAGAATGGAGATCAGTAAATACAAGAAAGTGCATTCTTTTTATAGCTTTTATGTTGAAAACAACAACAGAACACACTGCATATTGCAGTCTGTTAACAGTGGATGAGAAAATGCACATACAATTTTAATCAGCACTAAGCTTTTCTGGTTGTTTTTTGATGGTTGCCTACTGAAGGAGACTTCTTTCTGAGGGGAGAAGAAACATGAAAAAAACCAAGCAATAGTTTGTACTTGGAGCTTTGTTGCACTTGTTTGTTTTTTGATTTTATTTAAAAACTCTCAAAAATATACTAAAATGTCATGGACTATGGTCCCAGAGGAAGGATGTCAAAATGTTGGAATTTTTCAGGCAATCATATGCATTTAAAAAATATTTTAACAATTAGTTCCATAACCTACCAGGTTTTCTTTTGTCTTTTTTTTCAGACCAAATGTTGATTTGGATAAATTGTAGTTGCTCCCTGAAAAGCTAGAACAGCTAGACTAGAAAATGTGAAGAAAACAAGAGCAGTAATATTTAATAGGAGATTTTTGGTTTTTGGAGTATTTTGGTGGCTAATAAGGGACTTGTATTTGATTCTTATCTGTCCTATATACTGAGTGACTCATTCATGTTAAGTCTTGTCTGCAGATTAGGGATGATTCCTTCTTTATTTCTTCTATTCATGCTGTAAAACTTTCAGGGCAGAGGTGATATGTTTATATGTATTCCTGTATAGGAAGGTCTAGAGATCCCCATCTGAATTGTTGCAAACATACAAATAAGAAATCATTTTGGTAGGTTTTTTGAGAAATATATGGTAAACATTTGCTCATTTATATAAAAGTAAAAGCTATAGATTTTCCGCTTCAAATACTTTTTTTGCTGTGATGAGTGATGTTCTTGCTTTCTCAAAGCCAAGGAGTCTCATTTGTAAAGCAATGCTTGGTCATGGAGGTGGAAAATTGCTTAGAGAGTCTTCAGAATGCTTCATTTGTGTGTTTGAAATGTGTAGGAAGTGCCAACAGAATGTTTATGCTCAAAATATAGCTGCCTTCCATTTCCCTTGGTTTTGAGAGTTGTTGATATCACTATTGGGAGTTATTTGTGTAATTAGATTTCCTATCAACTGGAATGAAGGTGTTACGAGAGAGGGTGAACAGATGAACTAATGTACTGCATAGTAAATCAAGACAGAGCATTACAGAAAGGACATGTGTTCTACCCTTCAACTTGTGTAATGGAGGCAGAATTGAGGATGTCTCTTTCATAGTCTTCTACTGGATTGACTTTTCATATTCTGGTTTTCTCTGTGAATAAAAAAAATTACCCCTAAGCCTGGAAGAAAGGATCTGAAAAAACAGAGCCTGAAACAGTGTCATTTCTTCCATGAGTGCTCAAATCTTTACCCAGGACAGAAATGGAAACTAACAAGAGGTAGATGGGTGGGTCAAGAATGTAAAGAACCTGGAGACACTAAAGTTGAGAGAACTTTAAATAGGATAGATGGCTCAGACCCGACAGTTCTATGTAAGTGATCGTATAGATCATAGAACTTACCTCCAAAATTGTGTGGGCTTAAGAACCCATTCTGTGACACTTTTCTGTATGTATTTACACATAAAACCGTGCACAAACACACAACCTCTCCTTTGTTGTTGCTGTGAACTAGAAGATGTCCTCAGAAGGACTGGCAGAACCACGAAGCGTGACTGTGCTCAGAGCTGATAACACTTTGAAAACCATTAATTTGAAGCAATAGGTTCATTTTACTCATGGTTTAGGAATCCTTTGTGCTGTGTTGCTAAACTGTAATTCAGAGGGGTTCCACGTCTGCCAGTAGCACAGCCAAACAAGATGTTGTTTGTCAGAATGATCGCACGATGTGGCAATTACACATGTCATTTCAATTACAGGGGCTTACAAAGTATTTCACAAGTTGTGGAAACCTGGATCTTTAAGGTAATGTGTTTTCGTATTCTTTCATAAAGAGAGATGACTGTGATGTAGGGAGCTGTGCATGATCAGCAGGAGCTGGGCCACTCCTGGTTAATCATGAATGACTTCTCTTGCAAGACGAGCCTTATTTATTGTTGGTAGCAACAGCATGTGGTTATTGATAGTTATACTGCTAACTGGAACACTGAATTAGTTTTAAACAGTGTATTATCCAAGGGTGATGACCAGCCCTGGAAAAAGAACCCCTAATTACTGGCACAGCTGTTAAGAGGAAATATTAGTCTGTGTTCATGTGGGAAGCTACATGGCTTGAATCTGTCAGTATCTCCCTTTGTGACACAGTCTCAAAAGTGTTCAGCAGCTGGTGGCTTACCACAGGATGGGAATGGCTGTGTACCTTAAACACCCTGGAACCTTGCACTAATCCCATGTGCATGTTAGAACTGCAACCACACAATAGTAGTTTTGGAATCAGGTGGCACTGCATGTTCACAGTGTTTGTAGTCTGCATTTTTCTTTATGGATGGAGAGGGGAAGGTTGGCACTGCATATGATGTGTAATATACATGCACGGATAAGCTTATTTATTTAAAAATCATTTTCCATCTCTGGTTAAAGGGTCTAAATTTTAATCAGTCTCACTTTATCTTCACTTTAAATGAAACTCCTACTGACAGTAACAGCAGAAATAATGTGTGGATCCTGTGTAAATTAATATGTTGGTCAATTGATAATTAATTTATTTGTGTTGATAAAGTTATTACTGTTATCTTTATAATGTATATAATTATAATATAATGTTAGTATTACCTAATATTAGCCTTGTTATATATTACATAAATTAATATAATGTAATATTACTGTATAGCATTACTGTATATTACTGTTTAATATACTGATCTGTTACATCAAATGAAGTGCACTGCTAAAAAAACCACTTTTTCTTTGCCTCCACTCCCAGTGATCTGGACCAACAGTACATCAACTATGTGTTCAGGTAAAATGAATAAGTCTTTGATACACTGGGGCTGGTTTTATGTGGTATATGTTTTCATTTTCAACCTTGGCTTGTTGAAGAAACTCATAGCTACCACTACTTAAATGCTTTTATTTAGCCGGACATTCACTGAAAGAACAGTGCTAAGCTGAAAGGCTTAGCAGCTGAATTTTTTTGGCTCCAGTTGTAGATGGACATGCCAATATACACCTGAGGAGGTAACGAAGTGTTAATTATGAATTTTTAAATCACCACGTGCACAAGTGATCTATCACTTCCAGAAATAATATTTACAGAGTAACTCCCTGGCAATACCCCACTTCAGAAAATAAAACTTGTACAAAATTGCCAGAAGAGGAGGTAGTGATTACAAAAGTACTGTGTGCAAAGAACATGAGCAGTAACTGATTGTTCAGAGTGCCATTAGTGGGATTGAGTAATTCTGACTTTCAGTTGTTTTTCTGATTTGGAGATAGAAGAGTGGCTTGTTATTTTGTAGCTAGTGAAAGAGTCTGAGTCACTGACCAGATTTCCCTGCTTTTTTAAATCCAGTCCTTTCTTAAAAGAGCCACAAACCAGGACATTCAGAGTACACGGCTTCTGTTAAGTTTTTACTTTATTTCAAGTAAAGCATCTAGAGACTTGATTCAATTTTCTTCCATCCAAAATCACATCTAATGTATATTGGCCTCTTTTCTTGGGTTCATACCTAAAGTCATTTGGGAACACAAAGTATGAATAATAAATTCAAAGAAATTCCTTCTGTGGTCAGAAGGAGTGAAAGAGAGAGCAGAAGTTGGGAATAAGCATAACAAAAGTGAAGTTGTGCCAGTCTATTTGATTAAATGGATATATGCTCTTGTCTGGCCACATGAAAATTCCTTGATAAAAGTACATCAGGGACACCAATGCATGACAGTTGCTTTCCTTCAATTCCCATTTGTGCTGTGAGCATAGTCAATATGATAACACTGTATCTCTTTCTGCCTTGGTTCAATCAAATCTCCTATTTCCGTAAATAAGTAATGCAGGCCTCTGCTTTTGCCTTTATGATTCACCAGGGCCCCATTAATGGACAATATCTGGATATCAGTTTGCTTGAAGTAGGCTCTTGTTTAAGTCAGTTGTTGCTTTGCATCTACTATGAAATGCAAAGCAAATCAATTTCACACAAAGAAGGTAGGTGTGTTTATTGAAATTTTGGAAAAATTAGTCATGGAATTTGCAAATATGCTGCCACATGCAGAAATAATCTATGAAGTCTGGAATGAGATGTAGCTACCTCTCTGTATTGAAGGCAAATCATAACCAAGCAGTAAAATCAATTGATTTTCATTTGGCAGCTGCCTGACTGTCTCTCAGTTCTCATTTTATTAGAAAATTCCATCTAGGCCTGAACCTTTAAATACAGATTTTGGCCAAAGGTCTTAATTTTTCAGCTTTGATTGAAAAGTCAGGGCTGGGCTGTTTCTCTGATGATCTTGGCCCTTTGAAGTCTTTGAACTTGTGTCCAGCAGAGAGCAGGAGTCCCACATTACATGAAAAATATGATAATTTATTTGGAAGCTTTTGAAAGGGAGAAACTTCTCGCTAAGGAGCTGTGAGGTGCAGCAGTTTTATATATATAAAACTCTTCTTTTTACAGAAGAGAAACTAACAATCCAACAATGGATTTATGCAAATTGGAAGATGGCTATTTTCAGCATCTGTTTAGGAGCAAACATTTGTTATCAAAGCTTCCAAAGTTTTTCCCCAAGAAGAGGCTTAAAGGTCAGTGTAGCTCACAAGATGATGGTGCAAAGCAACTTGCTGGAAAACAGATGGCTTAAGGGAGGTGGCAAACTGGAGGCTTATTTGTTTGGTTTGGGTCTGTGTATATCTATATGTCTATGTGTCTGTATAGGTATACATTTCTGTGTGTTAGAGAAGTAGCATTTGGATCTCATCTTGCCTAGGGAAAACAAGCAATACCATAGACAATGGGATAAGTGACATCTGAATTATTTTAGAGTTTTGTTTTGTCAAAATAGCTAATGATGTTTGAAAGGGTGTAAAGTTTGGCAGAAATTCTCTCCTGGTCTGCAATCTCCATGACGTGTCTCTTCCAGTGTCTCTTCCAACGGGGCTGGAATCCTGCTGCAGGAGGCACAGGCAGGGTTTGTCTCTGTGTGAGACCCCTGCACATGTAGTTATCTCAGAGACCACTGCCACTTCCCAAATCTGGATGAAGCTGTTAGTGTGTTTGAGAGCTGTGTACACCCAGCTTAACTGCACAAACTTAATTTCTGTAGAAAATAATCAAAACTACTTTTAAAGTCATCACTGACTAAAGGAATGTTCTCTGAATGAGCACTAACTCCTCACAGGCAACTCTGGGTCAGAATTACTGGTTATCTCTGTCAGAGGGTGTCCAGCAGTAAATTTTGTGATTTAGCAGGTGTTAAAGCATATGTTGCTTCCTCTTCTCAGGCCTTCTCAAGAACTGTTCTGGCCATGACAGGATCACAGTTCCACCTCCAGGACAGGACAGTTTAATGTGTGCTGGAGGTCTTGTCCCTACAAGCATGATTGTATGATTCTATGATTTATGAAGGAACTTGTTAGTGTGATATCAGTGCAATTTTTTGCCTCCTAAAACTATGATCAATTGGTCTTTAAAGCTCCTTATTTCTAGCCTAGATCAGACATGTAGCTGTGTGGGCACAGCCGGATAGTGTTTAGAACCATCCAATCTTTTAGGTTAGAGAAGACTCTTAAGGTCATTGAGTGCAGTAAGCAAGCACCACCACTGAACCTTGTCCCTAAGCCCCACATGTCTCTTAAATATCTCTAAGGATGGCGACTCAGACACTGCCCTGGACACTCTATTCCAATGTTTGATTCAAAAGCCTTTTAGTGAAGAAATTTTTCTTAATACATAGGATTATGTTCAAAGTGTTCATTATGTTCAAAATGTTCATGTTATTATGTTCAAAGTATTTCTCAGTTCAGTATGAAAGCACAGTTGTGCTCTACTGAGTGTAGAGACTGCCTGCAAGAAGCAGATTAAAAGATCTGCCACAAATTACTGGATGTTAGAATATACCGATATGTTAGAGTAAAAAAGAGAAGGCTCTGTTGGATGCTTCCAGAAGTGCAACTGAAATGAGCAGTCTCCAAACATATGCTGTCCTTACACACCATGCACTATTTCTTGTTCTGAAATCTGGAACAGTTTGGAAGAAAAGAACACCCTAAGTAAATGTATATGAATGGGAACTTTCCAGAATCAAACAGATCTGAAGAAATATTTGCTGATGTTGAAAGTCTGGCATTCTTCTCACTTCATCACTTCCAACATGATTATTCAATGGCTTTTAAAAAGGGAGCCAGGCCAGGAACAAGTGTAGGAGGGAAAGCAGAGCTGTGCTATGCAGAGAAGGGAGGGGTAATGTTGCTTCTCAGTGCCCAGCCCCATCCAATTCATCTCTCTCCCTTGTGTTTAAGCATCTGGGGCAGGGAGGAGGAGAAGAGGGTCAATGCACTTCCAAGATCCTGCCTCTAATCCTCCAATCCTCTTGATACCACCCCCTTTTTAAACTGCAGTATTGTATTTCTCTGTCCTCTGACTTCTTCATTAGTGTTCTACTTCCTAGTGTTTTTTTTCCTTGTAATCTTACATTTTCTTTCATTCCTTTCTGTTCCCCCACATTTTATCAAAGGGGGAGCCAGATTTCTCCCCCTTAGCTGGTGAGGGGTAGCATGAGAGGAGGAGTAGTAATGCCTGTCTGGCATGTTGAGGGAGACAATAAATGTCTTAGCAGCAGGTTGTAGCTCCTCTTGGGCTTTCTCCTGTGCTGAGGCAGGTAGAGATATTTTACTTCTTGTTAAGAACCTGTAAGAAAGTTTCAGTGCATCCCAATACCGGTCTCTGTCTGAAATTTGTCCACAAAGGCATGCCTGGCAGCCATTGATGAGGAGAAAACAGATACAAGAGAATTTCAAATGGTGAATAAATGGCAAAGTTATGAGGTAAAGGCTCTACTCTATGCAGCAAAACTACATCTGGCTTCTGGAAGAGCTGCTAATCTGTCACTTCTGTGAATTAAAAATGCTGCAGTAGCTTTTCTGCAATAGGGGAGAGCAGTTTTGCAGGCATAAATTGCTTTTCTTGCTGACAAAATCTCTTTTTTCCAGAAAGGAAACCACGAGTGACCCAGCCCTCAATATTTAGTACAGGGGGAAAAAGAGAGGAGTAGAGAAATCCGGCACATGAAATTTGTTTTTGCTGCAGCCTCGTATCCAGGCTGTCCTGCTAGAAACCTCTGAATCCCTAATCTGGTTTTACAGCATCATTGTGTCTTTTTTACAGATGCTTCATTCAGAGCAGGGCTACAGAGCAACTGTAATGCCATCTAATCCATTTGCCTTAACCTGCCCTGCACTTCACAATTAAGGTTTTGTTTTCTCCTGTTGTTTTGTTTGAACCAAAACCTGGCATGTCTGTTAGGGTTATCAGTTTCTCTTGGTTGCAGAAGGAAGTTTCTCTCTGACTATTTCCCAATCTCAGTGGGTTTTTGTTTTAACTGTAATAATTCAAAAAACAAGTAGAGAAACATGGCTTAGCCCTACTTCTCATCACTGTTGATACAGTTTCACTTTCCCTGTCAGTTTCCTATTTTCTCTGTTATTCAGTCAAAAGCAGTAGACCTTTGCTTCCTTTTCTCTCTTTACCAGGAAACTGAGGAACTGGGCCTGTTTATTGTGAATTACTCTTGGCATTCCTTTACAGGGAGAGCATCCATGTGTGGGGAGGAGGGGTAGGGCAAATTACCTGCTGTAAGTGATCTGCTTTGCCTTGTTTAATACCTTTGTGGCGGTAACATCTTTGAAAAACATGTATAAATATCGAGAATGTGAACATACTATACCATCTGATGCCTTTCAAAGACTTATAAAACGTGAAGCCTATCATACCTGCCTGTCTGTCCCTCATAAACCCTTTTCTCCTTCAAGCCAAGAGCTTCCTTGGCCATGGGATTTTCATGCTCTTTGCAGTTCCTTTTGCTGCAGGTGATTCTGTGACTAATGCTGGGGTCCACCAAAGCTTAACAAGGGCAGTCACCAAGCATGGAAGCTTGGTCATGTAGAGAGCTGGGACCAGCTGTGAGTGAACAGGTTTGGAAATGGTAGCTGTGTTAACACTGGAAAAGGGAGTTGGCCTGGAATGCTTGAGCATTCATAACATTAATGAAGGTCTTTTACCCTCTGTAAGTGCAGTGCTTGCTGCTCACCAAGAAGCAAACTCTTGAGATACTATTTTCTTCTTCTTCCACTTGTCCTTAGAGTTTGTCATGGATGTATGTTGTGGGTAACTGGAAGAAGTTGTAGCTCTACAGACGTATATACTTATCCCATCTCACAGCACCCCAGAATGTTTTTGTAGCCCGCTAACCTTAGAAGCAATTTGGAATTAAAAATTTGCAAAAAAAAAGGAGATAAATTTACAAGAAAAATCAGTAACACTAAAAAAGGCTCTGTACAACCTATACTGCAAATTCAAAAGGGTGAGGTCGTTGTAAGACCTCAGAAAACGCAAGTGATAATACTTCAGATAAAGAAGTGGTCACAGCTGGCTTTCTTGTTCACTTGTATCTGGAAAGTGTGAATAATTCAGGCTGGTACTTGGTTTTATGGTTTTATTTTCATGTGTTTTTAAACTTGTCTACATGCAATATTCAGCATAATATGGAGCAACAACCATACATTGCAACTTTGGTGGTTTAAAAATGGAACAGCAGGAAAAGCTTTGCTGGCAGGGTAGAGTGGCCCTGGGAAAGTTACCCAGAGGGGTGTGGAATCTCTATGCTGGTAGATTTTTGAGACATGCCTTTTTAAGACAGAACCAGAGGGCATCATCAAATATTCGTGATAGTCGTGCTTCAGGTCAGAAATTTTATTATGTGACCCCAGACATTCCTTTCCAATCAACATGTATTTTCTTTTAATTAGTATTTGTGTCTCAGTTATTCTACTTAACTGGAATAAGTTTCACCATGAAAAAACAAACACAAAACTGTCAATTTATAGTCTTTAGCCCATGTCATAAATTCTGTAATATCCCATTAATTTTCCTTTTTTAGTGTAGTGCTGTTGGCCTCTGCATCCCATCCAGCAGGTAAAGTGAACTGAATTCTTCCTTTCTTAGGTTTCCATATTGCTTTTGCTTTCTGTGCATGTTTTTAGTGAACCCTTAGAATTTTAGCCCTGAATATGACCAATAATATCTTACCATGTAGGAAGAGGAGAGAAGGGTATATAACTTGGTGTAAGTTTCATGATATTTCCCAATACTATTCTTAGCTGTCCTTTGCAAACAAGCAGTATGGAACTGACAACAAAGAACAGTGTTTGAGGTGGTGCATGGTAAAGAACAAGAATTCCCTAAGCCAACATGTCCTCTTCAGAGCAGTGTCCCAGAAATCCATATAGGACTGAGTAGTTTTTGTTTTGTTGCTTTAATGGCATGGATCCCATTGCTTGGGCCCATAGCAGGATTTGAAGTAGCAGCACATCAGGTGGTAAAAATTGAGAAATTTTATGGTGGCTAATATTCCTACCTTCTGGTGTGTTCGTAATTAGGAGGGTAAAGGTGATCATCTGTTGCTTACATTTGTTTAACCAGAAAAACAAAGAAGGAAGCATTTAAGGAAACATAAATTTTCCCTTTTGCCTGGTGGTACAGGTTGTGTATATAGGAAACCCCCACCAGGATAGACATACATGTTAAGTGAAAGAGTCCTGCATTTCAAAAAGTGAAAGATGGAGCTTCATGCAAATCTGTAGAGACTGAAGGCCAGAGAACTCCGGGAATTGCCACCAAGAGCACCCAAGCCCAGGTTTCTGGAAATGCAAGTATTCAAGAGCTCTACTTAGACCTAGGAGAACTCTTTAAACCTCTCAACATGTTATGGAGTTCAAATGCCAGAGGGGGAAGCAGCCACCATATGTCTGTGTTTCCTGTTGTTTCAGTAGGAGCTATCACATGCTGCAGTATAAAAGAAGTGGATATGATACATGTCTGTCCACTGGCAACTGTTGCTTAAGAAGGACCTTCTGAATACTGGAAAAGAATAAATACTCTTAGGTATCCCTTTTCCCTTTTTCAACCAAAGGCAAGAACTGGCTAGAAGCAAGGTCAGAGAGAAATCATTAAACAAGCCAGAAATGTGGAAAGCATCATAAATGAAAAGTCAGCCAGCTGTAAAGGCTCAAAGGAATGTTAAACTAGTAATGTTCATGTAATTGCTGTCGCATTGCTTGTAACAGTGGGTAATTTTTTTCCCACCTACTGAGTGTATTGCTTTGTCCCTCAGGTGATCTCTTCAGTGCCTTGGATTTTCCATTCCTTTACTTCTACAGGTTTCATAGCAGCTGCTGTGCCAGGTAAGCTCTCTATAACAGGTCATGTAAATGTTTTCAAAATAAGAGGTTCCATTGACTTCCAGCCTGTACTCTCAGTTAAAAACTTTGTAGCATATAAAGCCTTACTTATACTAGTTTCTGCTGCCATAAGCCAGTAGAATTGCAAAGAACAAATCTTTGCATGTCTGTGGATATGTATTTGATGGCCTGAGACTCAAATGTGCTGAAAGTATGTGTTTCCTTGAGTGAGTGCATTCTGACTGGGAGAGTTCGCAGTCGCCAGTAAAATAATGTTTGCCCAATGTAGCAAAGCTTTGATACATAGCATCTCTCAAATGCTTCTGAAGTCAGATTAACCCAAACTTGCTTTTTGCAGCAATTACTAAGTATTAGTCTTCAGCAGTATATGGATGTACATGGATTTATTGGCTTGTACATCTTGTGATTTGGCAGAATGCTGGTTTGGGTAAAAAGGAAAAGCTTTAACAAGCATTTAATTATTTTCAGTAGCAAAAGTTCACTGCATATTGGCATAATTCTCACAGGACAACATAAATATGTTTCCCATAGATCTTAATTTTTAAAAGATTCCTGTCTTTCCCCCTCAGTCTTTTACCAAATTAAAGTATTTTTTTAAGAGGGCGAAAAAGATATTTTCTTGCTAACTAATGGCAAAAATATTTCTTGAAAGGCATTTTCTGACTTGTATCTGGAATTTCTGTTGAAAGGGTATATTGAGAATGATTGTTAAATAATTTCCAATGTACACAGGTTTTTGTTATGTTATTCCAAGTGTGGTCTAAGCACAGAACAAGTAACTCACAATTAGGTATTCTGTAGGTAGGTGAAATCTATATTTCTTGAGTGTGAGGTCTAACTGCAGGCTCTAACGGATATCGGTCTATCCCAGATATTCTTCTCATTCACTTCATTTACCTCTGTGGCAGCTTCTCACTTCTGTTTCCATTGGCTCACCTTCAGCACATGTGTAGTAGATAGCGCTGTACACCAAAGGAAGGGGAAAGGAATGGTTAGGTGGAGAAAAAACCATCTCAGTTGCTCTCCTACATTTTATAATCGAGTGTCTTTGTAGATATGTGGGATTTGGAGGAAAACCTATGCAATGTAAGATAAGGGTAATTCATGCAGCTAAATCTACTGCCTCTGGAAAGTGTCTGAAGCAGTAAGGTGGAAAGTGCTCAATTTATTTAATGAAATAAATTGCTGTTAATTGTGGCATCAATATTTTAGGTATTATAATTTGCTGTTTCACTTTTTTATCTCTTGAGTTGCACTAAATGTCTTCAAATCTTCATGGCTGAAAGCCTTTCACAGCAGGGCAGAAGATCTGAAATAAGCTACTGGACCCTTAAAAGTATAGGCAATGTTGGATCATTGAACTCATTCATTTCTCAGAGTGGAATGCTCTACTGCCCAGCACTCCATCCTCTGCAACAAGTTGCTGAGTTTAGGCAAATTTTTGTCATCAAGGTAGCATCTGCTACCTTGGCTTCAGACTTCACACACATCCCAAAGGATCTTGTGTTATGGCTCAATGCAAAAATTCCCAATGCCTTCTACTCCTGGGAAGTTATCTTACCACGCTCTTTGGTGCCTGTATGGACATGCAGCTGAGCTGGAACATGGCCACATGTGTTGCACGGGGAACAGATTGTATACTGGAGCCCAGCACAGAGCTTCTGACCTGAGGAGCCACCATTTTCCACCTTTCCTGCTGCTGTAGAGAGGGGACCAACTGCATGGCATCTCTTTCCAAAACATCATACCCTCTGTGAATTCCAAGGCACTTTTTGCTTCACCACCCATGTGCTGTCTTGATCCTTTACCATGCAGCTTCCCACAGCACTTTGTAATGTCTTATGCCTCAAAGTAATTTGTGCCTTATATATTTTTAAGTTCTTTTTTGTTCCCTGCTTGCTGGTTTACACTGTTCCACTGGTTCACAATCAGTGGATTGTGTATATGTCACAATTGAAACAAAATCCAGAGCCAAACCTCATGAACTCCGTAAAGTCTGTTGAGTCTGTGGAGCAAAATTTCCTCAAGGGTATTCTTGGCTATAGGAGTGCTGTGAACTGCTGTCCTGTAAGACTTGAGAATCAAAATTCTCTTAATTGTCAGCAGAAATCTTTGGAGTTTCCTGTTCCCAGCACTACTGAGCCATCTATTTGTTATACAGTAGAGATGTATTTGACTTCCTAATTGGAATTTTGGCTTCATGAAGTTTAAACAGCTTAAAAGCTTCAGGCAGAAACTTTCCAGTGGTTATTTTTTCAGTTCAAGACTCTGTGGAGGTTGAAGTGAGTTAGTTGCCAAATATGTGTGGCTCCTGCTGAAATTAGCATTGCTGTTATTCAGAGCCATCTCAATGCCTGAAGTTAATATTTCACCTCATGTTTTCAATAATCCCTACTTTTCTGATTATGCAAGTGCATTAGACACCAACCGTGAGTGTCAGACTTACTTTATTCAGATTCTAGTCACTGAACAAAACACTAGGTGTACTGGCCATAATGTACGCTTCTTGTCCGCCAGCTTTCATTCTCCAAATGGGATTAACAATGTAGTTCTTCATCAGGGAAACCAAGAGGTCTGTAAGGGGTTGTTTAGTTGAAGTGAAGAGATTTTATTAACAAGCTTTTCCAATCCTTTGCAGTGGACTGTTGGGATTCTTTCTGATGTTGCACACAGTGAAGCTAAAAAGCAGCACAACCTCAGGGCAGTATGCAGCCTGGAGTTTCCTTGCAAAGGTAAGAGAAAGACCCTCACAGGAACACAGTGGATCTGTGCACTTCCCAGGAGAACTGAGGAATTTCTGCATCTCTCTAGTTTCTCTTGCTATTCCTCCTTGATGCTTCCTTGGTTCTGTTTGTGCAAACTGCATGTAGAGCTGTGACAACAAATATCAGGTGTGTAATATCCCAGGATCATTATCTGAGATGAAATACTCTGTGTAGACTGAGCCTAATGGAACTAGGATGATTATTGCAGCTAAGGATTTGGACTACGGCATCCCGGTAATGCAAACATACACTTTCCAAAGTGTTTTGGAGAATACATCTTCTATGAGTGTGTGCACCAGCCATTTTATACACAGTTTGCAGTGTGTCTTTCCTGAGCCAACATTTACAGCTAATTCCCTGAAGTTCAATACCAGAACTCTCACTGTTTTTGTTGCAGAAGAGAGCTAAGGATGTCATTTGCCTTGACATTACTAGGGCTTTTGATGGTATGTCCCACAATATTATTATATAAAATTAGAGTACTACAGTCTGGGTGGGCAGATAACTAGATGGGTAAAAAAATGGTTGGAGGATCAGGTTCAGAAGGTAGAGGTTAATTGTTGAGAACTCCCCATGTGTGGAGACACGAGGCTTGACTCCATTTTCAGAAGGTTACTTTATTATCTTATGATATATATTATATTAAAATACTACATTAAAACTATACTAAAAGAATAGAGAGAAAAGAATGATCAGAAGGCTACAAAGAACAAGAACAGAACAGAATGCATAACAAAATCCTGTGACTGCTCACAGCCTTGGCACAGGTGGCTGTGATTGGTCATCAATTGAAAACAATCCACATGGACCAATGGAAGATGCACCTGTGGCATTCCACAGCAGCAGACAGTTATTGTTTACATTTCTTTCCTGAGGCACTCAGCTCTCAGGAGGGGAAAAATCCTAGGAAAGGATTTTTCAGAAAATATCATGGCTACAGGTAATGATTCCTAGTCTAACTAGAGTCTTGTGACAAGTGGGAATGGCACAGGGATCTGTCCTGGGTCCTTTCCAATTTAACATCTTTATTGAAGAATGAGAAGCAAGAATGTGCACTCACATTTCCAAGGGGCACCAAATTAGGAGGACCTGCCAATAATACTGGAGGATGGGGTTGCCTTCCAGAGGGATCTGGACAGGCTGGAGGAATGGGCCAACAGAAATCCTAGAAAATTCATCAAGGGCAGATGTGAAGCCCTGCACATGAGAAGGAAGAGTCGATGGCAATAATAGAGCCTGAAGACTGCGTAGTTGGGAAGAAACTCTGTGGAAAAGGACCTGGGATTTTGGTAGACAGCAAGTAGCACATGATGCAGCAGTGTGCCCTGGCAGCTAAAAAACCCCAAAGTATCCTGGCCTGCACTTATAATAGGATAGACATCAAATTTGTGGAAGTGATTATGACCTTCTCTTCAGCACTTGTTAGTCAACATCTGGAATAGACAGCCTTGTTTCAGGCACCTCAGTACAGGGAAGATATTGATAAACTGGAATGAGTTTGGCAGAGGAAAGGAAAGTTGGGGGACTGGATCACTTGCATTTTGGGGAATGGCTACTGGATCAGGCTTGTTCAGCCTGGTAGAGGGACACCTTTGGGAGCACCTAAGAAACAGCAGCCACCCAGTAGCTATGGAGAAATCATCCTGAAGACAGATCCAGATATCTAGGTGTGTAAAATAAACCGAGAGGTTCAGATTAGATACAAGGGAAAATTTTTTCACCCCCAAAGACAAGTCAGCCAAGGGCAGAGGTTGCCCAGGAAGGCTGTGCTGTTTCCAACTTTGAAGGTTTACAAGATCCAACTGGATAAAGCCCTAAGTAACCCAGTCTGACCTCCTGAGGTCCATTCTTTGTGGAATTATCCTGTGATCTGGGGTCTGGCTGTACTTGATTTAAGCTATTAAAAACTCAGTTTTTAAATGATTGGTTGTGAATGCAGTCAAAAGAGCTTGTCAGACTCCTTTTCCCTGGTTAGATTTTACTTAGTTTCATCACTTTCATCTAGATCATCTGAAAACCACAACCTTCCGATGTGGTTTCTGATCTCACCTTTCCTACTGCAGTGAATGAAGCTGTCACATTATCACCCCCTCCCCACCCCAAACCCTAGATTTGCATACTATGCTTCTTTAGAAACTGTCGTCTAATGAGTCTGTTTTTTGTGGGGATAACAAGGGTGGAGTGATATGACTTGGTTTGTGCTTTGTAAGCTCTTCCCCAATGTACAAGTCACACAGTGTTTCTCACTAGTTTAAATTTCTTCCAAACATTCTGAGCATGCAGATTTTAGTACCTCAGCTTTCTTCTTAGTGCTTGGTAGCAAAGTCAACTGATCTAAAACTTGCTCTTGAGTCTTTTGATGTTGTTGTGGGGTTGTTTTGGTTTTAGTTTGGGGTTTTTGTTTTTGTCTTTTGTTTAACATTCTGGGTTGGAGATTGGAATAGCTGGCTCTGCTAGTAGGTGCTGTGAATGAGGGTAAATGGTTTTACGTGTGGTATTTATGACCTACTGGAAAAAAATGCAAGCAAAAATGTGTTGTGAAATATATTTTAAGCACATTTGGGTCCATCCTAGATGAAGTGGATCAGAGCCATAAAGTCTGGATTGGATCAAAGTTTTCCCAGAGTTCAAAGGTTTCTAGATTTGTGGGGGTTTGGCCATCCCTAGAAATAAGTGATATGAAGTTTGTTTTAGCCACTGTTGTCAATGAAATTATGTGCCTTCATAGCAACTAAAAGCTTGTCCCTGTGTCACTGGAAGAATTTAATCTGTTCTTTAGCCTTTAAAGTGCATGCTTTTAAATGTACATTTTTTAATTATCTTGATTGGAAGGTTTTTGTAACAGAGCAATTAGTCCTTTTTCTGTTGTAGCTTCTAACCCAGTGCTCAAATTATATGTCTTATCTTGAGTTTGAAGCGGGCAATAATAATGAATACAAGAGATCTATCTGTAGCACTAATAATTTTAGCAACACTAGCAGTTTCCCTAAGTCTTCCACTAGTGTTTTAAAGCTTGCTATGTGACTTATTTTAGGGTTCTACCATATCCATTAAAGCATGCATGAGGAGCATGGAGGAACTGCTGCTCCAAGTGCTGAAATGCAGTTGATTTAGGGTTAAAAGTCAGTGAATGCTTGAAAAGTTTGGAAACACCATACATCAGTTTTAGAACAGAAATCAAAGCAGAGACAGACACAGACAGGCAGAAAGCAAGACCTGAACTGGAGCTTGCCTTAAGGGTAGGGGCTGATCTACTGGCTCCCAAAAAACTCTCCCAAGGAACCTTATATCTACAAGGAACTATAATTTTATGTACTGTGTAGTTACGATTTGAGTTCCATCTGTCTGATTGTTAATACTACTTCCTGCAGGTGTTTGGAAATGGTGAAACTATGTACTGATCCAGCTCAGCATTGCCCAGGTATGAGGGCTGTGTCAGTCACATCTTAAATCATCGTAAGTGCAGAAAAGCAGCATTTAACTAGCACTGTAAAAATCTGTTTAAGTCTAAGTGTCTGGCTCCCTTTAAAAAAATTAAAAAAAAAAAAACAGAAAAGGAAGGAAGTTAATGTGGATAAAGAATAAAGATAGAAAGTATTTATATCTGGACTTGCAGAATGGGATTCAGTGGAAAAAAAAAAACCACCTCTGGTCACAACAACAGCTTTGTGTTCCCACATGAGCATTTTTCTTGGATTGAGTAGTGCCCTAGATCATCCTCCTAATCTCTCAGACTGACTGGAGTTTTCACCAGCAGTTGGAAAGGAGCAGCGTTTGAGGCCAGAATATGTTTATCTTGCAAATGAGCCAAGAAAGGAGACTGCTGTAGTCCTCAGACAGCAGCACAGGCCTCTAGGGAGGTGCAGGGAATCGGAAAATCTGTTTTCCATTTGGATGCTTTGTACCTATGTGACTGATGAGCTGGGGCTGAGATCGTTGTCACAGCTTCATTTCCAATAAATTAACCATGAGATCTGATCGGCTCTGCTTTGCACATCCAAGGACACATTCTTTGTGAAGCCTACATATTTGGCCTCCCTACCCTCTAATTTTTCATTCACTTAAAAACTGGAGCTGGGTCGTAACTTGTTTTTATGATCTTTACTTTGGCTGTGGCAACTTAATCAATGCATGAGGTTTTTAAATTCTTTCCTGTAATGATTTCTGACAGCTCTCATGTTAGGACATTGCTTTGCACAGAGACAGATGAAGCACAGGTTTCATCTGTGTATAAAGTCCTGTGTGATAATTATAGTGACAAATGCTCTCTGCACTTTTTCTGTGAAAGCAAATAGTGCATGTGTTAGTCATATCTGTATAAATTCCTGAGAAATGCAAAAACATCAGTGATCTGTATAAAAGAAAGTTTTTAAGAAGTCCAAGAAATATGAAATGCTTTGTCATAGCCTTGCACAGATTTAATCCCCAGAAGAGCAAGGATTTGAAGCTGTACTGAGATTTCTTTTAATTTGAAAGCTGTGCTAGTATCCTGGGTCATGTACTGGAAAGAAAAAACTGGAGATGCTCAAATATACAGACAGAAGCATCTGGTGAGAATGCTAATGAGCTCTAACAGTGCTGTCAGTGAGTTTGTTTTGATTAAGGTTGCCAATCTATATCTGGTGATGAAGTCTGTTAGGGTCTCTAAAAGTTAAGCAGCAGAAATAATTTAAATCATTAATAGAATGGAAAAATTCAGGAAGATCCTGGTTACTTGTGAATTTGTATTCCCATATCATGTTTAGTGTTATCCTAAAAAATTTGTAGTAGGGAATTCAGCTTGTTTCCAGTAAGAACCTATTGAAGCAGCTTGTTATAAACAGGAAGAACAAATGGGAAGTTCAGTGGATTTTGAATTCTCTTTTTCTTCTCCCTCACCTGAAGAAAGGAAATTCAATAACTGAAATTAAGTTGCATTGAGATTTACTGATTTTCCTATGCACGGGTTGGAAGGAAATATAGAATAA